TGGAGCTTGAAATTGTGCCTCCTTCCTCCAGTCTAGGACAGGCTCTGCCACCACGGGGGACCTCACTTACTCTGACTGATTTTCTACAGCATCTGCCTGCTCAGAAGTGGAGGTGCTACCCTGGGGGAGGAGCTGGGAAACCTGGGTTCCAGTAGAGGGCTTTAGAAGAAAAGGAGGAGGAGTGGGCAGCTTCCTGGCCCTCAATGCTATTGTCCCCCGCTGTTGGGAAGGAACAGAGGAAGCTTTGGCCATGGTGACCCTGAGGAGACAGCAGCTCCCTCTATGCAGGTTGTAATACTATACAAACAATAACATTAATAGTGGTAACAGTTGTAGATACCATTTATCAAGGGCATATTCATCCAGATACTTTCTTCTCCTGACCCCTTTCAATCCTGGGAAGCTCCTTTTTTATTTTTAGATAGGGTCTCACTACACACTTCAGGCTGGCTTTGAACTAATTATCTAGCCCAGGGTGGGCTCTCACTCACAGCAATCCTCCTGCCTCAGCTTCCTGAGTGCTGGGATTACAGGCATGTGCCACTGTGCCCAGCAAGGGATGCAGACATCATTATTCCCATTTTATAAAGGACAAAACAAAGTCTGAGAAGTTAAGAAGCTTGTGGCAGGGGGAATGCTGGGGCTCACACAATACCAGGCAGGCACTGTACAGTCCTTGCAGAAAAGACTTGAGGCTTTGAAGGAGAGGGGCTGGCCTAGGCGCAGAGGAAGGAAATGCACAGTGCTCCAGGGAATAATCCTGCCTGGGCTTCCTGGCTCTTCTCCACGGGAGCCGTAAGTGTCCAAGTCATCGGTGCTCAGAGAGTAGGAAATAAGGATAGTAGGCTGACTATGAGAACTCTATTCTGGGTCCTAATCAGGGTTGTGTTTCCTATGGCAAGTTATTTACCCAAGTGGGCCATCATTAACATCGTCCCTTGCTATCTCATTTTATTATTTATTTTCTCTCTTTAATTACAGGACTCTGACATTTGGGAGGTGGTAGGTCACTTGTGAACTTCCTCCTTGAAAAGATGTAAAAAGTACAGATTCCCTGCAGAGACACCTGCCTGAATTTACAGTCTCGGGGCTGAGGACAGAGGAGAGGCCGAGGGAGGAGCGGAAGAGATTTCCTGCCCTGCTCTATCTGCTCATCTGTCATCTGTCCCTGGTTGCCTGAGAGCCACAAGCATTTGGAACTGCGGTGGGAAAGCATGCACCTGGGAGCCTGCGGCAGCCTCCAGGGCGGCCTGGTGCTGGCACAGGTGCACCGTGTGGCCTGCTGGGAGGGGCGGGCTGGCCGTGGGGCCCGGAGCCAGAGCCCTCTGCTTCTGAGTGCTTTGCGAGGGAAAAGCCAGCCCGGGCTCCCCAGAGCTTGGGGACGGGAAGGTCTGGGCTGAATTCTTGAAGTGCAGAAAGAGCAGGTGTCAACTCCAGGGCACAGGATCGAGAGGCCCCGTGGGCGCGGCAGGAGCCTGACTTCGAGTCCTGAGCCTGGGGCTGAGTCAGGGCCTTGAGCTACTCCAGTGAAAAATGGGGTTAATAACGCTCATCTGGAAGGGCTGCCGAGGACCGAACGAGGGGATACAAATGAAGTGTCCGAGGGGAGCCTGCCAATGCCTGGGTAACGTGTGGTGGCTGCCGCCGTTAATAACAGAGACTGGGGACATGGCTCTGTGGTACAGCACCTGCCTGGCATGTGACAGGCCCTGGGTTCCATCCCCAGCCCAATAAATAAAAACATCAATCTGGAAAAGAGATCTTGGGCACAAGCGGGAGGGTGGGTGGGGGGCTCGGGAGTCAGGTTTTGCTCCCCCGCCCCCCTTGCTGACTCTCAGGGCCCTCCGGGGCCTTATCTGCCAGAGGAGGTGGTACCAGCTGATCCCCAGGCCCCTTCCTGCTCTGACAGCCCCTGGCTATGAATAGACCCGGCTGGGGCCTGGAGGAGTTTAATGACTCAACAGCTAGGGAGGGCAAGGTTTCCGAGGAAAGAGTTTCCATTCTGCTTAGTGAACTTGGGGGGACAATGAGAAAGGGTTTCCTGGCCGGGAGGCTAGGAATGTGGGAGCGGGAGGAATCTGTGCAGCCGGTGGGGAGACTGTGACTAACCAGGTGCATGACTAAGTCTGACCCTGCCAACCTTCCACCAATCAGAGCTGCCCGAGGGTGCCCTGCAAGCTGGCATCACTAAGCAAGGCGAGGCTCTGCCAGGCCCGACTGGATCTGGGCTTCACAGCATATGGAGGCAAAAGAAGCAGCCAAGAGACCAGCAGGGAAAGAGCACTGGGCTGAGAGTCAGAAGACCCAGCTTCCCACTTTGACTCCGCTGGTCACCGGCTGGGTGCTCTGGGGCGGGGTCTTCTCCTCCCTCAGCCCCCGCCCCCATCTGTACCACGGAGCCAGCAGTACCCGCCCTGGCAACTTGACAGAGTTGTGAAAGCTGAGAATCAACCACGAGGATCAGCACTGGGATCATTAAAGTACCAGGTGAAGAGGAGGTTCTTGCATTACTCCAGCCCAGTGGGACTCCCCATGGAGGTTCCAAGGGGGAACAGGCCTGCTGACCCTCGACTCTGGGTCAGGATCGGTCAGGGTTTTCTTAGATCAGAGCCCCTGTGGCTAGCCTCTAGCTCGATGGCACAGCGAGAGTGGAAGGTGAGAAAAAGTCAGGGATGGTAGGGTGGGGCATAGGCTGGGAAGAGCCAGTCTGAGGACCCCAGCACCTGGGTGCCAGTCTGAAATTGCCCTTGCCCGGCTCTGTATAAACAGCTGCCAGACCCATGCTCTGCTTCTAGCCAGAGCTTTTAACATCTCCCCAGGCCAGGACACAACAGCAGGGGTGCAGAGGAGGGCAGTGCCTTTTTGTTTCTGCACACCTTAAACTCATCAATAGCTTTCTCTGAGTGCTCACAGCCGCTGGGTACCACGCTGGCACTGGGCGCTTTGTAGCAAGACCTGCAGGACTGTGCACATGGAGATTAATTAAAGTGTGGCTAAAGCTACCAAACACATTCTCCAACACGTACATAATGTTCAGAGAAGCCTGCAGTGGTCACCCAGGTGTTGACAGCAAATCGTGTTGTGATCCAGGGCAGTGGCCTGGGAGTCTTGGGATCTGAGCTGGACTGAGTGTTAGTGTAGACAGATAAACAGAGACTGAGAAAAAGGTGTGTCGGACATGCACATTGAAGATGTTGTCAGGTGACAGCTGGGCTGCAGTGGAGAGGGATTATGCATGAAAGGGGCAAGAAATGAAATCAGACACGGAGTTTGGAGCCAAGTATACGGGTCCTCAATATTTGGGTTAAGGAGTATGGGTCAGATTGCATGGGTACTGGAGGAGCCCCTGGGTGCTTCTGAGGAGGAAATTGGTATGGATCAGGCTGTGCTTTGGGGTGCATACATTTGACAGTATTGTCCAGGGGAATATGATTTGTCAGGGGGATGAGACTGGAGGCCGGGAGGCCAGTTGGGAGGTTATTGTGGACCTGGGAATACGACAGTAAGAAGACAAAGGGCGATACACAAGGGCTTGCTGTGGGGCGAGGGACAGGGAGGTCTGAGGGTGCCTTCTCATTCTCCAGGCCGCTGACCACCTCCTGGAACCAGGCAGGCGGCAGTGGGGTATTCCTGAGAGGGGAGGGAGCCCAGAGCAGAGCCGGTCGGGCTCCTTTCAGGCTCCTCTTCCGCCAAGCTTTGGGTCTCCCGGGAAGCAGAGCCTCAGAACACGGTTCTGCAGCAGGTAGGCAGTGTCCAGTGCTGCCTTTTACCCCCTCAACTCCTGTCAACTCCCAGGAAAACACTGCCATTTTGTCATGAGCTAAGCCAAATGGCAATGAACCGTTGGGAGCCCAGCCAAGGCAGGAGGGTCAGAGAGAGGAGGGGCGGGAAGAGGAGGAAAGAGCTCCTGGAGGCATCCCAATGGGCTCTGGAGGAAGGTGGGTCCCCAATCTCAGACTCTGAGCACGTCAGGGCTGGGAAGAGTCTTTGAGATCATTTTGGCCAACTTCTGTTTGTCTGGACATGAGCCTGAGATCCAGCCTGGGGAAGGCACTTGCCCAAGGTCATATAGGGGGTGGCGGGTGGAACTGGGTTAGAATTATAGGGTCTCTGGGGTGGGCAAAGTGTTTAATCCCCCGGACACTTGAGTAGCACCATCAAAGAACGGGCTGGAGATCCCTTTCCTGGACGCACAGATGGATATCTGTGTGCCCTGCGCTGGGCGCGTGTCCTGTGTGTGCCTGTGTGTACCTGAGTGCCTGTTCCTGGGTGTGTGTGGCTTCCTACACCATCATCTGTCCTGGCCTGAGAAGGAGCACTGGGGCCATCCCTGAGAGGTGACTGTTTTGCTGGGACAGTGCTTTATCTGGCTCCTAGCACCTGCTCTGCCGCCCTAAGAAAATTACAGGCTCTGGCTGGTGGTATCCAAACTCCTGGGGCCAGACACACACAGACCCTCACACACACACACACACACACACACACACTCCCCCAGACAGCGCTCGCAGCCGCAGTTACGCGGTGTTTCAGGCATCCAGACTGGCCTAGAGTGCCACGGAGTAACGTACCGGCGTGTCCGTGCCTCCCCGAGCCCGGCAGGTGTAGCCCCCGCGCAGAAGCCCATGCGCAGGGCCCGGAGGAGTCGCCGTTCCCGCCGCCGCTGCCCCGCGTCCGCTCCGGGGCCTAGCCCGGCCACACCCCTCCTCCTCCGGCCTCCGCCGGCCGCTCCTGCCCCTCTCTCACACTTCCAGTCCCCTGGGCTTCTCGCGCAGCCCGGCAGGGCCAAGTTAGGGCTGGCCCGGCCGGAGATCGGGGGCTGCGGCCGGCAGGCGACGCCTCCCCAGTCCCCTGCCCGCCGGGCAGACCCGCCGGCTGGATGGCGCTGCCGGGGCGCGGGGCTCGGCGCCCAGCCCCTCTCCACCGGGGACCCCGGCCGCAGCCGGCCCCCGCCCGGCCCCCGCCCGGCCCCCGCCGGCCCTCGCGCGGCGGGCAGTTGTTACCTATGGTGGTGATGACGGTGATGGCGAAGTAGAAGGAGCCGGCGAAGCGCCACTGCACGCCGGCCTTGTGCGGCTTGAGGCGCAGCACGACGCGCTCGAGCTCCTCGTAGCCGCCCTGGCTGAGGTTGTAGCGCGCCCGCAGCTCCCGCTGCCGCAGCTCCAGCCGCTGCCGCTCCAGCATCTCCGGCTCCGACTCCAGCGCGTCGAAGACCGCGGCGCCCACCAGCAGGTAGGTGAAGGTGCACACGATGAGCGCCAGCGTGCGCACGTTCTGCCGCTTCATCGTCCCACCCGGGCCGCCGCCGGCCCCCCGGCGCCCCCGGCCCCGGCCCCGGCCCCGGCCGCCGCTGCTGCTGCCCCGGAGGCGGCCTGGGGCATGGCTGCGCTCGCTCGCTCGCTCCGCGCCGGGCACCCGCTCCGCGCCCCGGGCCGCCGCCGCCGCCGCCGCGGAGCTGTCCGTTCAGCACCACCCACCGCCCTCCTCCGCCGGCCCGCGCCCGCCCCCGCGCCCGCCCCGCGCCCGCCCGCCGCCGGCAGCCTCCTCCCGCCAGCCCTCCCGCCCAGCCAAATAAGGACTGGGGAGCCGCGCCGAGCGGGGCGCGAGCGGGAGAGCCGGCAGGACGGAGGGGGGCGGGGAGGGGGGGTGGGGGTGGGGGAGGAGGGGGGAGACGGGGCGAGACCCAGCAGCCGCCGCGGAGAAACTAGACCGGGAAACACACACAAGTACGGGGAGAGGGAGAGGCAGGCCAGGAGAGACCCGGGCAGGGGGTGCGCCTGTGCGCAGAGACAAAACCAGAGGTGGACACGCGGGTCCAGAAATAATAAGGAAAATAAAGAGGCAGGCCGGAAAATGGGGCAAAGGGCCCGGCAGAGCAGCAGACGGAACACAGAGCTCCAGAGAGCTGCAGATAAACTGATGCTACAGAGCAGCAAGCGACGGGAAGGGACAGGCAAAGCCAGCCCCCTCCCTCGCCCTCCTGCCAAAGCACAGCGTGTTTCGCTGTAGCCCGAGCCGACCTCGGGCCTTGCTGCTGCCCTGTCCCTTAAGGTGTGGACGGGAAAACCGAGGCGCAGAGAGGTGGAAAGACACGCAGGACACACAGGGAGTTGGTGACGCTGCGGGGACTCAGCTAGGATTTCCTCACCCGATGCATACTGTCCCCCACCCCACTGCAGGCCTGCAGCCTGTGAAATCATCCGGGCAGCAGTGGACTTGGGCATCCCCGGGCCACACCCAAGGGTCCCTCCTCAGGCTCGGGGACTCTGCGCCCTGGGACTTCTAGCTTAGTCTCACCAGCATGCCAGGGGGAGCTTGAGGCAGTGCCAGGCCCAGTTTGGGTGTCCCAGCAGGACTGGCATCTGACCGAAATGGCGCAGGTGGGGCCCAGGTGAGCAGGTCCACAGAGACACTGGAGTGGAAGCTGCCTGTGTCTCCATTTTTTCATTTGTCAGCATGGCCTCGTGGTGGTGAGGAGGTGCTGCAGGGGACCTCGCACAAGGTGTCCCTCACCCTCCCAGAGCCGCCTGTCCTTATCTCCCCGCGAGGTGTCGCGGCAGATGATCCCACAGGCCTCGCTCAGCTCCCTCCGGACACCTCTGTATTTGGACGTCGGAGTGAGCAGAATGCCTGGAATGCAAATCCCAACCCAAAGGAGGGTCAAGAAGCCCTTCACGGGACCCTGGCATAGGCCACGCAGAGAGATACGGCAGGGCCCAAAGCCAAGCGAAGGCCGGGGGACAGTGAACCACAAAAGAGGATGCCGCCTGCCACATCCTGGGCTGGCCTGTCACTGCCAGACACTACACTTCTCCAACAGCATAGCAGAAGTGCCATCAACCTAGCCACTCCTCAGCCCTCCATTCCGCAAGTATTTATGGGGCTTCTGCTATATGTTTGTCTGGGTGCGGCACATTCGCTATCACTAGTCTTTGTCACATTCTTGAGAGGTAGGTCCGCGTGTGCTTATGGCTACTTTGTAAATGGAGACACTGAGGCTAAAGACAACACAAGCCGTCATCCAAGCTCACTCAGCTGGGAAGAGGCTCCGGTTTGTCTCCTTTCCAAGCTGCATTCTCTTCTCCATGATGCTGGGAATCTTGATTTTTCTGTCTGTAAAATGGGATGGATCATCATATACTTCGATATACCTCCTCAAGAGTTGGTTTTCAGGGCTCAAAGAAAGCTATGTGTGTGCAAATGAGAGGATTTGAGGCCCTCTGACGCTCTCGCTCTCTGGGACTTAGATTTCTGAAGCAGATCCTGCTAGGAAGGCCTGAGTTTGTAACCCATTGTCCCTTTTCCCCACAAAAGGTCTTGGATTCTTTGTAGCTGTAAACATCTGGACATGAACTCAGTCTCAGCTTGCAGGTTTCTCCTCTGGCATCGTCTGTCTCACTAGAAGAAGAGCCCTACACTTCCCAGCATTCCTAGCATGGGCAACAAGCTAGGCTGTGTGTACCTGCGATGTGTTGGCTCCTGGTCACAATCCTTCCCGAAGCCACCTCCTCTAAGCTGCGTCTGGATGCACAAGTGGCTTGATGGCCTGCTGTGTGTCCAGGTCTTCTCACCGCTGGCTGCCAAGCCAGGCTACCAGACAGATGAAAGGCGATATTATAAGTGAAAGAGATTTGGGAGAGAGAAAAAAACTCTCTTTGGAGGCAAGGCATTTATTATTAATTATGCTGAATCTTGTTTTCACAGCTCTTCAGAACTGGCAGAGCATTTAGACACCGTCCAGCTCAGCCTTCTCATGTGATAGATAAGGAAACTGAGGCCCGAAGAATGGGAAGAAAGTTGCTGAAGGACACACAGTGAATGGGGGGAGCGGGCTCATGCTCCACGCAGGTGGCACCCACCGAGTAAGGACACCGTCATGGGGAGAGCCTGACACGGCCACGGTGGTTAGATTGTGCCAAAGAACTGGCACCCATCACCCTTTCTTCCGTGGGGGGAAGGGGTGCCTTGGACCTGCCACACCTGCCGAAGGTCAACCCGGCACTGCCTCGTGTTTGCTGTGGCATTTCAGGACAGCCGTTCCTCCTTGTGCCTTGGCTTGTACATCCATAAATTGGGGTTTTGGACCAGGAAATGTCTGTGCTCCCTTCACTCACAGCATCCCGTTATCTTCCGAGTCTGCCCGTGCCTGTCTCCCTGCTTCTTTCAAGAATCAGGCAAAGGCAGAGGAAGGAGCCCCCGCTCGGAAGGCTCTAGGTTGAGGAAAGGGACCCCTATGGAGTCAGCGTGAACTGGAGAGAATTTATCATTATATTTGCTGTAAATATGACATGCAATTAGTTTCCAGCCTTTTCCTACCCCTTCCTCTCGAAGCTCCAAGCACATCTGAGTACTTGCATGCGTCGCGTCGTATGACTCATGGGGCTCCTGTCAGCTGGGATGCTGGCACCTCTCTGCCTCTCCCATCTCCTGCCTGTTGGGTTCCTATTCAGACTTCAAGACCCAGCTCAGAAGCTGCTCTTTCCCTTGAAGCATTTCCCTAAGTGCCTCCTGTTGGAGCTCTGACTACTTGGGACAGCCACACGCTCATCCACAGCTCCTGTTCAGCCGGTTCCTCTGCCTGCCTACCAGATTAGTTGGCTCTTATTTATTTATTTTTAGCTCGTTCATATTGGTCTTCCCCATTGGCCTGCTGTCTCCTCCAGGGTGGGCAGGCTTCTTAACCCTGCTGCTCTTCCCACAGTGCTTTGCACATCAGAGCTGGCCCACGTGTTCCTGTACACAAGTGAAGGCCTTGGAGAACCCTGCACCCACCGGGTTTAAGACCAGCAGCGTCAGTGGGAGAGGGGCACAGATGGCCAGGTCTCAGGCAGAAGAGCCCAGGCACTGTTCTCCTGTGACCGCAGATGGACACTTCTGAAGCTGAGTGGGGGAGGAGGGGGGTCAAAGACAGATGGGAGTGTGCACAGCTCCAAGGAAGTACACGGCAGCAGAGAGGGCACTGAAGGGCAGTTCAGTGCTAGTGCGGTTGGTGCAGTGCAGAGAGCGCATGGCATCTCTGTGCCTCAGTTTCTTTTTTTATACGATGAAAGGGTTGACTTTGTGAACAGGTCTTTCCCCTTCTGATGTTCTGGGATGCTAGCGAAAGGCCTGTCCCTGTGACCAGCAGTGCTTATGCCAGAATATGACCAGGGAGACCCTTCTGTTCATTGCTTTTCTGCCTTGTTTTCTGGGCACTTGGAAGCTGGGCAGGACTAGTGGGGTTAGAAGTGTAGGTGCTGACCCTGAGTCAGACAGGCTGGGCTCCATCCTGCTTGACCAGGGCGTCCTGTAAAAATTCTTGCCCACTCTGTCTAGACACAAGTTCCCACAGGGCAAGAATAAGGCTTCTTTGTGTCTGTACACCTAGCCCTTAGCACCGCAGCCAGTGCAGAGAAGCACTCTGCAAACATTCCTCCACCACTGCCAGTCAAGGTGGTTGACCTAGGTAGGATGGCCTGGGGCCTGTGGTTCGCTGTAGGAAAAGGTGTCCAGAGCCACTCCAGTACTGGAAAGAGGCAGGTCTTAGAGAGGGGAGTGGGGTCCAGGAGCAGCAGAAGGAACCAGTAGCTGGTGCAGGGCACTGTGCTAGGTGTGGTGGCCGCAGTTGGGTCTGACCCAGAGGGCAGTGGATGAGACTGAAGTGTTTCATGTTGTATCTCTGCAGGGGAGAGAATTCAGGGATTAGCTTGGCTTTGCAGAGCATAACTGGTCCCACTGCGGCCAGCTTGCGTTTGTCAAGAGCTGCTGTTTGTTTAACATCTCAAGCCCAGATCAAACAAAAAGGCAACTGTGAGCAAAGGGAGACTCTGGGGGTCATGGGGAAGAGCCAGGCTGGGCAGCTGGACACCTGGCCCTCTCAGTCCTGCCCTCACTGAGCTGTGTGTATGAGGGACAGGGCCGTGCCTTCTGACCAAGTGAGAGCTCAGATCGAAAGATACCGAGGCTAAGTGCAGTCCAGGGTGGCACGTGACCTTCCTGATTTGCAAGGAGCTGCTGGGCGGGGGCGGGGGGCTGTCATTAGCATAAAGCCTTGGTCCTCTCCCCAAAGCTACCTGTCCCTCATTGAATGGCCCCTTCCCCTAGACTGGACCTCCTCGGTGTCCTCTTCCTCTCTCTGACCATGAATGTGAGCTTTCAATGAGCATCTCCATACTTGCCTGTCCGTGGATCTGCAGAACACTGTAGCTATGACACAGACCCAGTGGCTACCCCGTGCAAGTCCGCAGCTGATCCTGGCAGGTCACCTCCGCGAGGCTGTCCTGGTTTGCATGCTCCCCAGCGGGACGTAAGATTGCCCGCTTTCTCCCTGCCCACGTTGGTATTTTCACTTTTCTGATTTGGCCACTTCTTTGCTTCCCTGCTTTTTTTCTCATCCCCATGCTCTTTCCCTTTCTTCCTTAAAACTTCCTTTTCCCCGTACTTGGGGCAAAGACACGGACGGACACACCCATAGCTGGGAGTCTCCCGCTTGGTGCCTATGCATGCAGGCACTTGTGTGTGTGGGTGTGTGAGCGGGAGTCTGTGAGCCTTAGCACTGCGGCGTCAGTCCCGGTTCCCTCTTCTTCCCTTACGCTGTCTCCCAAGCCTTCAGGCTCCCATGCCACACTCCCCTGCACTGTTCCCTGTGTGCAGTCAAAGATCCCAGGATAACTCAAGCCCACGGAGAAGCTGAGGTCTGGGAGCGAGAGGAGCAAGCACCTGCAGCCCTTGCACAGCATAAGACCGTGGCTGGGACTCAGGCCCAGCTCTCCTGACTTTCCAATCTATAGCTACAAGGTAAATTCCGGAAACTCGACCTTCCCATGGTAAGAATCAAGTCCCTTAAGATCTTTCTCTGCAGAGACTACAGAGCAGCTGTGACCTGTCTTTCCGGATAAACACATTGCTGCTAAAGAAAAAAAGAGAGTCCGGAGATGTAGTCAACAGCCTCACAAATCTTGAAATCCTTCTTTGCTGGTTTATAGCTTCTGAGAAGCAAGCAGAGGCAGCCTGTTCTCAGCCCCAAACATAATCATTATAATGGCACTTGCAGTGATTAATCAGCCAGTGGGTATTGTGTGGTGCCTGCAAGATGCAGAGGGCTGGGGGAGTGTCTTGGGGTAGGGGAGAGGGCAAGAGGGGCGATTTGCTCCTGATAAACAGGCTGGGGTGTCCTTTCCTGAGCAGAGGGGCTGGGGGACCACCACGGCACTCTTTGATACGGTCATGGCCTCCCTGGGACTGTAGTGGCCCCGGCTGGGGGAGGAACTCTGGGTCCTGTGGTCCCAGCTGTTGAGCTCCAGATCATGCTGGGAAAACGAAATCGACAAAGAGGAGCAGGTTCTGGGCCTGTCACCCAGATTAACGAGGGGCCTCGCCAGCATGACGTACGTAGCACGAGCGAGAGAACTTGGATGCTCAGCCCAGAGAAAAGATGCAGGGAACATGTCAGCTGTCACAAGAGGAAGGATAACTTGGCTCAGTGTGCCCTACCAAGGGCAGGTGATCCGTGGGGGAGACAAAACCAATCAACAACGAGTAAGATGGAAAGTCTCCATGCCCTGGAAGAAGGGATGAGCTGCTCAGGATGCTGATGGGCTCCAGGTGAGGAAGGGTATACAAACGTAGCCTGCTGACCCCTTGGACAGAGGGCATTGTAGGAGTCTGTAGGAGTCTGTGCACCAGCACTGTGCGTGGCATGTACTAGGTTAACCATACTGAGTTTGAGTCTGAATTAGATGTCCTTTGTGGGTCTACTGGGCTGAGTCCAATGCTAGGGGGCAGTCTGTCTATGGCAGGGTCTTTGTCCTGACTCCTGGCCGCAGGAAGGGCTGTGCTGGGGCTTTTCATGGCTGAGTGTTCTCAGTGCTATCTTCTTTCAGCTCACTGAAACCAAAGACCACCCACATCCACCCTGTGTGCTGCCCCTTGCAAACACCCAGTGTGCACAGGTTGGGGTGGGGACCCGGAGGCCCTAGGACTCCAGCAAGGGACAGGGGCCTTCGGCAGGCTAATTACTGGGAGCTGATTCTATTAAGTAGATAGCTTGCTCTCGGCAAAGCAATTATACCTAAGAGGCCTCTGAGCAGTGTAAAGGGACAGCCGTTTGAGCCAGACGCACGCGTGAGCACCAACATCAAACAGCCTGGAACAGGCCTGGCAGGCTCATCTGAGGCCAGGGCTACTCCCGAAGTGGGCTTCTTAGCCCTTCCTCAGTGACCCAGAGCTGAGGCTGCTGTGTGGTGCAACATGGCTGGAAGGGCCTCAAAGACTTGGGCTAAGACTTGGCTCTGCCACTAAGGAGCAAAATTTCATTGGAGAGAGCCCTTCGCAGACTAGTAAGACACAGTACTACAGGAGATCGCGTCCAAGCTTCCAACTAGCACCTCCGGGCCAGCTGGTTTGGATTCCAGGCCAAGTTCAAGGAAGCTGGCTGGCGACAGAAAAACCTGTGTGAAATCCCCAAACATGGAAATTTGTCTTGGGGGACTGAATTATTCAGTCAATGTTTTAAAAACAAACTGAAATAACGTATTTTTAAAATGTGTGGATGCTCTATTGGCATTTCTTTTTCCTAGAAATTTTAGGTCTTTCTACCCAAAACATTTATGATTTTGCTGACCACAGTTTAGTGGGTTCTGGGCTCAGATTTGTCAGGGAAATTAGATCACAGGAGAGGACAGAGAACCAGGAAAGAGGGTCTTGGAAATGAAGGTGGAACAGACAGAGGGGGGAGATTCTGGCTGTGGTGGTGGGTGTCTGGCCAAACTTGTTCACATGGTGTTTTGCTTCTCCGTGGGAAGAACTTCCTAAAAGGATTTCAGATGCGGGAAGGATAGTGAGGAGGAATTTAAACATCCCAACTGGTACCAAGCACCCCACAGCATGGCAGTGCAGGAGAAGGGACCAGAAGGCGAGGGACTTCTGCAGTGTCAGCTCCCTGAGCTATGACTGACGACGTGAGCCTGCAGTCTCCACAGGGCCTGCCCCACGCAGAGCCAGGGAGGTTCCAGTGAAGCGGTGAGTGCAAAACGAAGATATGACTCCATCCCAGGGTGGGAGCCTTGGTGGCAGCTAATGCCCAGGACCCCTTTCCTGCCCAGCCTGAAACTTCTGTCTGTCCTGATTTTCACTGACTGTGACTTTGGGAACAGGGTGGCCTGCCTGGTGCACACCGTAGGGCCACCTGGCTTCTATCTCCTCTGTCCTTGCTGATCTCTGACAGCTGGTGCCCATGGGATTAGATGAGAGCCTTGGGCTGGCTTCTGAGAGGAGCCCAGGCACTGACTGGCCACCAGTGGCCTTGCTGGGCCCACACGCAAACTTTGGGCTTATGAAGGTGGGGGCAGGTGGCGAGATACAACCTTGACTCAGAACAGGGATGGAGGACAGGCGATATTCTGGCTCTGGCTCAGTGGAGAAGACCCAGACTGGAGCCCTGAGGCAGGCCCGGATTGTTCTGCGCTCACACTGACCATTTACTAAGAGGCAGGCTATAGAGAAAGACATATTTTGTTTTCTGTCTTCTGGGAGTGAGGGAGAGCAGGTGAGGCTGGGAGGGTGCTGGAGGGTCCAGTGCCAGCCAAAAAACCATGCATTGCTATGTGGGGGTGAAGGGAACATGTAAGATGCCCAGCAGCAGTGTCACAGGATGGGATCACGTCTTCGCTAGTCCTGCCTGGCCCCTGGTGCAAGCTCGAGTCCCACGTCCAGCATGGTCTTCCTAGGCCACTTCTCCAGCGTCCTCTCTGCTGCTTTCCTGAGGCCTCTTTGCCTCTGCCTTTCTCTATTCTTTGCACTCCCCACAAATGCACCAGGCTCTTTCTGATCTTTATGCCACACCTACATATACACACACGATGATACCGGGTACATATGTGAAGGTACCTAGTACTCTAGGAATGGTGCTAATTTATAGATAAGGCAACTAAGGCTCCTAATAATGCAGCTTGTCTAAGTTCTTACAGTTAAATAGATCCAGGATTCAGATCAAGATCAGTCTGCCTCCTGCCCGTGTTTCTCCTCTGCACACTTCCTCTCTAGAAAATGACAGGGTGGAGCCAGGCAGCAGCAGGGGAATAAAACAGAAGGTGCTGTCAACACTGGGCTGCACATAGTTAGAGCTTAGAAAAATACTGTCACACGAATGAATGAGTAGCTCAGGGAGAAGGTGGGTGTGGAGCCGGGACTCAGCACCTGGGTTTACTTCAGAGGAACACATGCTTGACTTTGAGTAAAAGATAGAGCAGAGATGGGCAAGGCTCAGTGATTCCAGCTCACCGCGGGGCTGGGAAAGAGGACTGTCGGGGAACAGCTGGGGTCCCATCAAGGTGGAGATGAGGGAGGGGAGGAGAGGCAGAGCTCTCCAAGCCCAGCCCTGGCACCGTGCCCAGCCAGGGGCTTAAGGTCTCCACATCTGTGCACATATTGACGGATGCTCTGGGCCTTTGAGCTGGGTGCCTGAGAAGGGGGGAGGCAGACACCTCTAGGCACCCAGCAATCCAGAGCGGAAAAGACCATTCCACCACTTGGATGAGGATTGGTCCCGGCTTTGGGGAAGATGGGGATGGGATGGGGACTCAGGCTCTGAGCTGCACAGATCCGCAGTGATCCAGAGACAGTGGCATCCAGTAATGCATGGAAACCACAGCGTGTCGGAGAGACAGAGGTCAGCTGGGAGGCAGCGCTCAGGCGGAAGGGCACAGAGCCGTCAGGGAGATGGAAAAAGTGATGTCGTTAAGGAACAATGTGTGCCAAAAGAATGAGCTGTAACTGGCGGGATCCGAAAGCACAGGGGGAAAAGGGCTGCCAGAGGCCCAGGGGTGTTGGTGATGGGCTGACATCGTCCTGGAGGAGGGATGGAGCACGAGCCCCCAGGCTAGAAGGCAGTTAATTACCCCCAGGCTCCATGGTCCTTTTCTGCTCCCTAATACCCTGCCTTGCAACTATTAATAACTGCTTGATGAACTGAGTCACAACAGCCTGCTGACCAGAGAATGCTCCTGTGTTTCTCCAGAGCAGATTGAAGGCTGAAGATCTGGGGTCCCCATCCCTGGCTGGGTCCTGCTCCTTCCCAGCATGTGAGTCGTCTTCTAGTTGAGGCTTGTGGCTGGGGATTGGGACCACTAAACAAGGTAAGGTAAGCCACAGTGCCTTAGGTCAGGACTGGCATGTCATGGCCCTGTGTTCTCTCCGCTCCTCCCTTCACGCCATAGCCCAGAGAGGAAGCCTTTCCCCTTGATCTGGCTGGGAAAAGGGATTTCTGGGGCCTGGGCTGGGTTGGGTGGGCTTGGAAGGCTCGAACTGATCAGAGGGATGCAAGAGACTCAGGGGGCAAACACGTGCCAAAGGAACTATGTGGGTTGCAGGAGACCCCAGCTGGTCTGAAGTCCTTAGAGTTCAGGAAACAAAGGCTCAGTGAATGCAAGGGCCTGCCTGGGCTAATGTGATGCCGGTGCTTAGGCTTGAGTGAGCTCCAGCCCTATCTCCAGGTTTCCCACGAAGTAAAATTCCTGAATAGCGAAGATGCCAGAGACCCTGATAGCAGCTGGGGTCCGAGGTTGGAGCAGACGTCTGTGTCCGCCTCGGGAATCGGAGGGACTGGAACTTGTACTTTTGTTGTCATAATTTCTGGGACCATATTTGGCCCTGTGTAGGGCTCCAGCTCAGCTCCTGCTACCCTGTGGAGAGCAGATTTCTGCAAAGGGGGTTCTCATCTGGGGTACTGGGGTGAGGGAGCTGCTAGGTTGAGAGCCTGAGATTCTAGGCGAGAGAGCTGATCTCCAGTGACTTGACTTGGGGAGACAAGTAGCCACATCAAGCCCTCTGTCCATTTGCTAATGGACTTTCCAGAAATACGTGCTCATGATTGCCCTGAAACTCTATTTCGAGTGCCCATGCGGTGCGTACGTGGTCACAGTGTCATCCCCACACCTCTAAGGTTCCCACAATCAGTAGACGGGGAAGCAGGACACCTGGCTTCTCCCGCCAAACACCCTGAGGCTGTGTGGCTTCCTCCTCTTGGTCCTCTGCACACACCTCCAGGTCCACACAGAGGCTTGACCGTCCCTTGAGCCCCAGGACAGGTCTCCTCAACAGCTTCAACTGTAAATCCTGCTTCCCTCCCAATGTCTTTGCCTCTTTGCTCTTGGATTGGGCCAACCTTATCTAGAGAATAGGAAGGACAGAAGGGGAAGCCTCATGCCTCATACAGATGGGGAAACTGAGGTACAACACTGTGCTGAGGCGCAGTGTGTTCGTGTGCCTAGGTCCAGGCAAGGCGCAAGGTGTTTGTGTGCCTAGGTCCAGCAAGAGGGGCATAGAGCTGTGGGGACAGACAGCAGGCTGAGAAATACTGTTCTGTTTTCTTAAGCTCCCAGCTGGGAGTGGGAACACCAAATCCTCTTTGAATAAAACAGAAAAGGGATTTAAAAAAAATCAAGACACCAACCTTCTGAAACAGGACCCCCCCCCATAGAGATTAACTTCTCTCCTAAGCTTTATTTTTTCATTTCTATAAACATTTTAATTCATGCCGACATCCCAGCCAGTCTGAATTACAGATGGATAGCCCGCTGAATGGCCTGGTCTCTGCCATACGCATAGACATGTGCACAGGTGCCTGTGTTTACTCTCTCTCTTTTTCTCTTTCTCTCTCCTTCTCCCTCCCTCCCCTGGCGCTGCCCACAGAACCAGAGCCATGGAGGAGAAGCCAAGAGCCAGGCTTTAGTTCTAGTTCTGCTGCTGAACGCTGAACCCCAGTGTCCTCATTCGGAGGGTGGGTGGATCAGTTGATGCTAATACCCCTGCCAGCCCACCTTGCGGGGCTGCCCTGCCTGTGTGGATTTTCCACCTCCTCTCACCCCTGGCTTCTCCGTGTCAAGACCTCCCAACAGCCTTCGGCCCGGGACCCGATCGTGGTGTGGCAGGGAAGCCTGTGCGCGGCTCCAGGTGGGGCCAGGGCTGCTTCTGGGCTTCTTTTGGCTCCGCAGTTCCTTCTGCTCTGCAGCGAGGGATCATCACGCACAAAGCCCCATATGCTGCCCAGGGACGCAGTAGGGGCCTCCTCCACCCACTGTTTCCCCTGCTGCCTCTCTGTCTTTCAAATGTACCTCTTTCTTCTTCTACTTTGGTCACTGCAGAAGCCGTGCTGTATTTTCTAGTTCCCTGGTCCACTCAGTCCTATGTCACGTGGATCTAGTCAGAACCCTTAAAATGGTTCTCATTGCTTTCAGGATGAAGGCTGGATGTGCCTCATTGCCTGGACGCTCTGATGGAGCCAGCCATGCCCACCTCCCCAGGCTGGCTTCCAGGCTCACCTGCGTGCCCTGCTCCCTGGCTTTTGGAGCCCCAAGCTCACCATACGTTTACCTTCTTGGCTCCCAAGTAAACTCTACCCACTTTAGGGGTCTCTTTTCCCAGAATCCTCAGTGACACAGAGAGGGTTTGCTCCATCACGTTAGGTTCTGCCCTGATGGTGACACATCGTTTGAACTGAAAGATCCCTTGCACTGTAAGCACAGAACGGCAGTCTCTGCACCAGGCTACTGGCCCTTTGTGGCAAGAACAGTATCGGGTGTCTTTAACGCTGACCCTGCATCTGTTTAATATCTTGTACACCACAGATACTCGTTAAGTAAATGAATGGCTGGTGTGAAATGCTCTCTTTAAATGTAGCTGGAGTGAGACTGAGCACCTTCGACAAAATCGGACATAAAATTCCCTAAAAGAGCATCACCCTCCTGTGAGTGGGGACCAGACCTTTCCTGAAAGTTTTTTTTTTCCCTCCTGACTTTTGAGATTCTAAATCCTCAGATTTCTTTTTAAACCTTCCTCCGACCTGACGACAACATCACCCCAATCAAGCAACAGACTTTAGATGCACATTTTCAGTTCCTCTCGTCCTCATCTGAAAGCACAGTCACTTCCATGGCTTGATTATGTTTTGGTTCTTGAGGTTGCAGCCAGCTGCGGTTATTCTCTGCTCTTGCTGGCATCAGAGAGGAAGGTCGTTGTGGAGAAGCAACTGGCTCAGCGGGGACCAGGAGAGAGATGTCAGGCTCTGTCACTGTTCTGGGCTTGGGGGAGATCTGGGCCTTGCAGCCAGCCATCTGGGTCTGGCTGGAGCAGAGGTTGTTGGAATCCTTAGTTGACTCTCTTTGGTTGAAGTTCCTCAAAGTATGCTTGGAGAACAGGTTTTTTTTTTTTTTTTAGGTGTTTTGCCAAAGAAAGAATTCCGTGTGTGGATACATCTGGGGAATTAGACCCACTCGATTAGCCCTTACTCTCAAGCCGTACAAGCCAACTCACCTAATTTAAATTTAGAAAGGAACTATTCTAAGGGCCCAGAGTAGCTCAGATAATCTCCTGGAGAGTCAAGAAATTAAGGTCAGAAACAAAATAGCCAAGAGCAACACCCAAAGTCACACTGTAAGACTTGTCCCTGGGAGACCCTATGTCTGCACAGATACTTTGACTTGGGCTACCAGCTCTGCCTGCCCTGGAGGCCCCTCTAAAATGACTGCCAAAATATCCTCTGGATACATACTGTCACTGCTGTCACCCCTACCCTTGCCTCTGTGCAGTGGGCTTTGCAGAGAACCTGCCTCTTCATATTGGGTTCAAACCCTGAGTCTGGAGTGAGGTCATGGACCCGTCTCCTTAGCTGCAAGAGAGGCGGGAACAAGAAGATTGTTTTTAGCTTCTTCACTTTACCTCAAGCACAGGAGGGAAGAACAGGTCCCAGGTGAGTGAAAAGAATGATCATGTTATCTACACTGTGGCCCTAGACCCTCTCCCTTGGGAGTTCACAAAGTTCTAGAACAAGGAAGTCTGTCTCAGCACTGTTGATGTTCTGGGGGACACTATCTTGGTGGGCTATCCTGGATGCCATAGGACATTTAGCAGCATGCAGGCCTCTACCCACTGTACCCAATACTGTAGCATTCTGCCAGTTGTGAAAGCTAACAATGTCTAAATTCATTACCAAATGTCCCCAGGGGGACACATTCATCTTTGGTTGAGACTCATCATCTGGAGATCTTCAGGAAAATTTGCAATACATTTCAGGGACCAGTATTGGTTTAACCTACTTCCCCAAACTGATTTGACCATGGGAAGTATTTTTCTCTAACTGAAGCCTCCCTGATTTTGTTTCACAAAATTTATTTTGGGAAACACTGGGCTGGTAACTGGGGACGTGGCTCTAGGAGTTCTGTGGTGTGGTAGGAGACTGCACATGTTTCAGCAGCTCCTGTCATCACTTTCCCCACATTCCTGAACAGTCTGGAATCTCCTGGACGACCAGCTTTGTGAAGACCCAGATTCTAGGGAGTTGGTTATGATTCTGGGAAACATTCCCAGGGTCCAGAGGAGGACCCCATAGAATTTCATTTAGATTGAAGGGACATCCTTTTCCTCTTGAGTGTAAACTTGCCCTGCAGGCAGAGTTAGTACCCTAACAAACAGGAACAGAGCCTTGGGAAAAGCCTCCTGCCATGGCTGTCCACTGTGACCTTCTGCATGATTTGGCAAAGACCTCACAAAACTCAGGCAGATGTCAGCCCAGCTGGTCTCCAATGTGTGGCCCAGCCACCCTGTCAGTCTTCCATACATGCTTACCAGGTTGAGGCCCTTGTTACTGCCCAAGGAATGCTCCTGACATTGGGCCAAGTGCATCTCCCCAGCCCCGAAGTCGTCCCTACCACTGTGATGAGTGGACACAGGCCCCTGATGGGTGGGCCACCCCCGCCAGGCCTTGTCTTTGAGAAGGAGCTGTTAGGATTGCTGCTGCAAACCCGGAAAGATACAAGTGGAGAAGCATGTTTCTACATCCTTAGCTGTCCATTCTGTGACCTGGAAGTCCCCTAAATTGAGGGCTTAGCTCTTCCCTACAGCTTCATTGTTTGACCCCCTTTGTGTGGCTACGGTGTCTGCCACTGACCTTGGCCTTTAACCTTGGGAAACTGACCCAGCGGAAGTAGACCCAGAAAGTTGTGCTTGATCTACTCTGGGCCTATCACCTTGCTCTATGATGGTCAGTTTCATTGGCAGCATAGATTTTTTAAACAGTTCTCCCTTGTGTTTTAGGTAGCGACAAGAGGCTCCTGGGTGGTAGAAAGTAGGGCCCCCCACAGCTTCCCTGAGAACTGAGTGTCCCCATGCCCTGGGCCCCAGGGTGTATCTTCATGGGACAGAGGAGACAACTGGAGTGGAAAAAAAAAAAAGTCCTGAAAATGCCTTGGATCCCAACCAGCCAGAAGATGCGCCAATGGAAAATTCCTGCTGTGTGTCAGAGGCCCACCTGGCCCGGGTGACAGCCAGCCAGACGCACAGGCCCCAAAGCATGTTTAGACAGCACTTTCCTGCCCTGGCCAGAGTTTCCCCTGGCCCTCACCAACGCTTCTCCTGGAAAGTGGGCTGGGCTGCTCATCTGGGTCCAGAAAAGCTGTGTGTGTCTCAGGTTCCAGGTTCTAGGAGAGACACAGTGAGCTTTGATAGGAGGACTGGGCAGGAGGAGGCTTGGGCCCAGCCCCTGTCTGCCTGAGCCTGTCGGTGGGACCCAGAAGTAGCTGCAGCCCCTCTGTGGGTCTTGGACTCCCCATTTGGGTAGCACATGGGTAGACAGGGCCAACCTCACCAGTCTTGACATCCTTCTGGAGAAGATCTATGGGCTCTAAGGGACTCCGCTCCTTCAGGAGAGGTCAGACAGATCCAGAGCCTTCGGTCATCCAGAAATCTTTCTTGCCCCTGGGGACCAGGCCTAATATCACATTGTTAATCCTTGAAATCCTAGGACGTGGGCTAGGAATGTGGCTCGGTGGCAGAGGGCTTGCTAAGCATGCATGAGGCCCTAGGTTCAATCCTCAGCATTGCAAATACAATAAAATTAAACTAAAGGAAGAGAGAAATTCTAGGATGCTCCAGAATCAGAGTCAGCCGTGCTGGGTGTGTGCAGGTTCTGAGAAGCAACTGACACCTTCTGGCCATGTCACAGAGCAGGACATGGCTTCATGGTGCCCTGGGCCCTGCGGCAGGGCCCTTCTGCTATGCTGCTTGAGTATCAGGAGGGGGAGGTTGAGCCTTGAGTGTCCTGATGGCGTGGGATGGGAAGCAGCTTAATCCGAATGGATCTGATCTGAGTGGAAAGATGTTGAAAATTGTCATTTGGTGACTGACTTACTTTCTCAGTGCACAGCTGCGGTCTCATGGCTCAGTTTGCATCCTGGGAAGCAGGATTCCAGCCGCCCCAGGAAGGGTTCTGGTTTCTGGTTTCTGCTGAGCTTAAGCTCAGGGAATGAGGTGGAAGCAAGGGACTGTTTTGCAATGCAGAGTTAGGAGGCTGGGGACAGAAGCCGAGGACACTTCTGTCTGCCTTTGGCTACAGACCCTTTGGCAAAAGGAGGTGGGGCAAGAACCCCAGTTTATGGCACAAAACGCAGCCACGTTGGTTGGACCTACAAAGGAATTGTGGGTGTTGGTCTCTGGCTTTAACACGTGAGACCACTGAGGCCTGATGGGAGGGATACAAAAACTTACATTTCAGGTCCAAGTCCATTTCCCTAAGAGCCCAGGCAGTGCCCCTCAGCCTCAGGGAAAGAAGAGAAGGACATGGCGCTCGCTGGCAACAGACAGGCTTGGTTCTGTCCTGGCCCTGTCTGAACCGGCTGCAAATTGGGCCTGTCTGAAAGTCAGTTTTTATGAATCAAGTGGGCACAATGAAGGGTGCCCTAGAACCGGCTCATTCCAGCTCCGAAAACCACCTGTGTGCGTTGCTTCCCAGCCTGTATTCAGTAGCTCAGAATGGGCCAGGGCAGAACTGTGGTCACCCCAGAGATGGACAAGCCCTGCAAAGCGAACCTCTCCTCCCTGTGGGCTGGCTGCCAAGCACTGACCAGTGAGCACACCCCTCGAAATGGTTCTTTCTTTATAAGACTAAGCGCTGAGTTCTATAAAGCATGGAAAGTTCTTACTGTGATGCCTAGTCTGAGGCAGAGGGTCACGCACCATCACCAAGAATAACGTTTTTAGGTTTCCTGCAACTTTATTATGTTTTAGTCCTGTATTCACTTTGGAAACTAACTTGGGCAAGACTTGTTTTCCTCTGTCGCATGGATGCAGACCGTCAGTCCCAGAGGAGAACTGTGAGACTGAGCATGCAGCAGAGCCGTGGGGAGACAGGGTCTGAGCTTGTGTCCATGTGAGGCTCTGTCTGGGCTCTGGCAGCCTCTCTCCCCCAGAGCAGGTGACCTGTAGTCTGAGAAATTGGAAGATCCTAGTGCCTCAAGTAATAGTAGGGACTTTATGTCAGTGGTGCAAGCCTCTCCTGTTCCAGATGACATGGTGGCCTGGGAAGGTCACTCAAGGTCACAAGTCAATTATGTTGCCAAGATAGACTTTGGGTTGTAGCTCTCTGGGTGCTCCATCAACATCTCTCTCCTCTGGACCGAACTACCACTAGAGCCCTGAACAGGAGTGAGATTGTCCTACCCAGACAATGTGGCTACTGCCAGTGGGAAGGGGAGGGGACTGCTTACGGAAGGTCACCACGTGTCCACCCTAGGAGGACCCAAATATAAATAATGCAAACTTCTCTGTTGCCTCACCAAGCTGTGTAATGCTTTCTTGTAAGTCACCGACATTTTGTCAATCAGGAAACACTGAGACGGTCCTGGGGCGGATCTTTGGACCTCTTTGGGCCTCTGTGGACAAAAGACCTCTGAGACGATGGGCCAAGGCTAGACCCAACTTTATAATCTCTAAGAACTCCTCTCCATGATCCTTCCTTCCCTCCTTTCTGCCCCCAACGTTTCTCTAGAGAATCTCCTTGGTCTACTAGAAGCTACTTTGCTGCAAATTCCAGAAATGCTTTGACATTTCCGTTCTTGGGCGCCGCTTAACCAGTGGTTGAGGGTGTGGGAAAGCTGGGTGACCTCCGGGATCCTGCAGGCGGGGCATTTGCTTATGTACTCATCTGTTGATGGGCATACGGGCTGCTTCCAGGATTTAGCTGTTATGGATTGTGCTGCTGAAAACATTATGTGTGTATCACTGTCGTATCACGTCTTGAACTCTTTGGGGAAGATGCCAGTTTTAATTCTTTGAGAAATCTCCGTACTCATTTCCACAGTGGTTGCACTCATTTACATTCCCACCAGCAGCGCAGGAGGGATCCTGTCTCCCATGGTTACACCAGCATTTGCTATTGTCTGGTCTCCCAATGGTTGTCAATTTCTCCAGAGTAAGGTGAAATTCTAGGGTGGTTTTAATTTGCATCTCTCTAATGATCAGAGACACTAACTATTTTTTTTCATATATTTTTTGGCCATTTGTATTTTTTCCTCTGTGTCTGTTCATTTCTCTGATCTATTTCTTGGTTGAGTCTTTAACGTTAGGTGGCTTGATTTTTATGAGTTCTTTGTATATTCTAGATTAATAGTCCTCTGTCTGAGCAGTGGCTGGCAAAATTTTTTCCCACTCTGTAGGTTTTCTCTTCACCCTGCTGATTGAATCTTTTGCCATATAGAAACTTTTTAGCTGGTACAATAATGCCATATGTTGATTCTTGCTGCTATTTCCTGTGTGATTAAGATTCTGTTTAGAAAATCTTTTCCTCCTCTGATGTCAAGTGTTTACCCATTCTGTTTTCCGGAAGGTTTAATGTTTCTGTCTTAATGTTTAGATCTTTGATCTCTTTTGATTTTAATTTAATATATGATGAGAGATAAAGGTCCAATTTCATTCTTTTACAAATGGATAATCCGTGCCACTTGTTGAATTTTCTCAATGCTATCTTTGCTCCAACATATGCCTGGATCCTTTGTCAAAGATCACATAGTTGAATGTGTCTGGGGAAATTTTTACCTCCTCTCTTCTGTTCCATTGATCCATGTGTCTGTTTTTGTTCCAGTACCATGCCATTTTTATCACTGTTGCCCAAAAAATATTCTGGGGAAGGACGTCTCTCAATTCCCACAATGACCTTGTGAAATACAAATGATCATCCCCATGTTACAGACAAGTCAGGAGTTTTAAAGAAGCTTAATGGCTTGTCCAGGGGGATAAAGACCACCCTGAAACAGCTAGAGCTGTAAATTTTGCTCTGTGACTATAAACCAAGCTTAGGCTTTTAAACCAAACTATGTATTTGCCATTTCTGAAATATCTCAGGATTATTAAAAATTAATTTTTTATTTGAGGAATTTTTTGTACCTTCTCAGTACTGGAGAAGCTCTCTTTTTGCAAAGAAATTAGCCCCCCGCCCCACACCACCACAATCCCACCCTGAAATGACCTTTTGAGCCCCTCTGGTCCCCAGATTTCTGATGGCTCTTTCTCATGTTTCCATTCTCTCTTCCCCGGAATCCTTTAGGCAGCCCACAGTGGGCTGTTGGTCTGGTCCAAAGCTCCAAAAGGTTCTCCATTACTGCTTTAGGCTAGGACTTTATTTTATTCTTTGCTTCCCTAGCACCTAACCTGAGCCAACTGGAAGCCAGCAATACGTCAATGTTTGTTGGGCAAAAGAAAGGGGGGATGAAGAAGGAGAGAAATAGGAGGGAAGAGGAGGAAGGGGGAGACGCGGAAGTGAGGAGGAAGATATTCTGGACCAAGGGAACAGAGGGCCAAACCCCTGTGGACAGGGGCAGCCGTGGTGGAGGGGTGGCCGCTGCAGTCAGGGCGGGACACACAGGTCCTCCCGTGTGGTGGCCTCGGGACATCTCTGACCAGTTGTTCTTTTTGCTCTGGGTCATGTTGTGGGTAGAACTAGGATGTATCCTGGTACCCAGCAGCCAGCTGGTACCTAGCAGGGGCTTGATAAGGGCTGAGTGGATGACAAGTGACAATGGAGTATGAAAAGGAGTCCCGGTGGCCCCTCCCCAGCCTCCCCCCTCTTCTCCCCTGGGTTCAGGCATCACCTGTGTCCTCGAGCATCATTTCTCTTGAGGCTGCTGCTTGAATGAGCTTCTGCAAAAGGACCCGCCATGTCTCTCCGCTCCTGGTTTAACCAATCTGGCTGTTTACACAGTAAACTCAGTCTCCATGGTTCAGCGTAGGAGGCTCTTCCTGAGTGTGGAGTGATAAGAAGATGGATGGGCTGAAGGACCAGATTGCCTGGGCGAGAGGCCCATCTGCATTACTCGCTGGCCATTTGGCCTTGAGAAGCTCACAGAGCCTCTCCTTAACTATGTTGTCTCACTTGTAAAATGGGGAGGATGGCAGTCGTTACGTAACTGGGATGCTGTAAAGATTCAGTCAGTTAGCACTGGGGAGAGTTTTGGGCTCACCCATTACTCATCAAGTGAATGTTTCTCTAGCTGAGTCTGTTACCATTCCTGCACCACCTCTGACACCTCGTGTCACCCCAAGTCCTCTCATGCCTGGACATCTTGGTTCATGCCATGCTTCTTGGAACACACTGTCCCCACCACCGTCACTGACAAAATCATAGTAATCTTCCAAATCCCAGCTCCCTCTGTGTCTGTGAAGGTGTTTCTGATTCTCCCAGGATGCACTGGGGGCTCTCTCCTGGGACCTCTGGATTGGGCACTTAGGCAATACCCTTCCTCTGTTGAAATTGCCCGTTGACAAGTCTGTGTGTGATCAAACTCCAGCCTCTTCCCAAGCTCTTTAGCCAATTCCCAATACAGATGACTCCTGGTGAGGATCCAATATTGTAGAGACATAAATTCTTCTAAAATTAATCTATAAATTCAGCAAAATCCCAATAAAAACTTAACAAGAGTTCTAAAAATATAATTTTATAAGCTAATTCTAAAAGTCATGTGGAACGGGGCAATGGAGAAGGATAGTAAAGCAAATCTTAATACAGTTAGGAAAATGAGAGAAAACAGTCCTACAAATATGCACTGACTACAAAGCGATCAGTACAGGATGATTGTGTAAAAATGGATGATCAGTGGAATACAGTTACAAAAGAACAGGTTTGTGGAATCTATGCTTGGTCCTCTCTGAAACTCATGCTGAAATTTACCACTGTGGCAGTGTTGGGAGGTGGAGCATTTGGGAGGTGATTAGGTCATCAGCAAATATTAACATATCTGGATTAGATATCCAGAGAGGGCTGCTATCACACGAGGCCCATCAGTGTGTTCTTCCTCTTCAGCACATACCTGCTTCCCTTTCTGACTTCTGCCATGGCCTAAAGCAATCTGGGGCCCTCAGTGGCAGCCGAGGTGCTAACATCATGCTCAGGGAGGTCTCAACCTCCAGATAAAACCCTTTTCTTCCCAAATTACAATCTCGGGTATTCTGTTACAGCAACGGAAAACACTCAGTATGCACGCAGTCAGAATTGTGGGGAGTGTGGAAGAGAAAGTGTTTAGGTTGGGCTTTAGAACAACTTCCAAAGTCATAGCACAGGACTGAGCCACTGGAGGAGATGCTGGTGCCTGCACTGCAGTCTGCAAGCCCCCGGAGAAGAGGAGGGAGCCGTGATACTGTTCTGGAATCACAGCACCCCAGTCTGGATCTGTGCTGGTGGAATCGGGGCTGCGCTGCCTTGGTCTCCTCAGAACTCCCAGCCTGATGTGAGCTGTAACCACTTTAATCCTGCAGGAAGCAGACACCACCATGGAGTCAACTGGGCAAGATGTGTGGAAGGATAATGCATGTAAGAGAAATATAAAGAGGAAAGGTATCAAAAAAAAACAAAACAAAACAAAACAAAACAAAACCGGAAGCTTTCCAGTGGTGACAAAGCTCTGATACCTGTGAAAGGCAAAAGAAAATGAAAGAATGTGGGGTAGAAAACAGGAAGAGGGAAGAAATGGCCAGGCACTGCTTTTAACTCTATGCTCAGTCATGGTGCTAAAGGCATCTGAACGGGAAATTACCGTCACATCTAGAATCTTAGCTTCAAGGATGTCTGCTGTACAGGAAGATGTACCAGGTAGACATTGGTAAGAATATTGTTTTATTTATTTGTTTGGTACCTCACACTTGCCAGGCAGGTTCTTATGCCACTGAGCTAAACCCCTGGCCCTCATGTGAATATTGATTGGACAATACGTTGTATCTAACTGCCACAGATCCCTACCTTACATCATATTCAAAATAAATTTCATATGGATTAAATAGTCCCAGGTGAACACAGAAAAACCTTTGCAAGGATTAGAAGAACAGTAAGAAAACTCAGGGACATATTCATATAACCTTAGAGAAAGATAAGGCCTTCTATAAAATGGCACAAAGTCTAGCAAGTATAAAGACATATTTTAAAGTATTTTATTGATTGTAATGTTTTAAGAAGGTAATTAATGTTACCCTGCTCAGTGATGAGCAACTAGATGGTCTCCTCCAAAAATCAGGAATTAAAAAAAAGATTTTGTTTCTCATTGGTCATGTTTTTAGCCATCCTGAAAGCCCTGGCTAATGCAGTAGGACAAGAAAAGGAAATAAAATGTATACAGACCAAGAAAGAGAAAATGACACTCTTCATTTGTAGATAATATGGTTATTTATGTAGCGAATTCTCACAAATCAACAAGAAACAATAAGAAGGAATAAAAAGTAGCAAAGTGCAGGACACAAGGTGAGCATACAAATTCAATTGCTTTTCTGTAAACCAGCAACAATAAAATTTAACACTGAAACCACAACACCATTTAGGAGAGAGAGATTGGAGGTTGGCTTAGGTACAAATCTAACAGCATATGTGTAAGCTCTATATGAAGAAAATCACAGCACTCTGTTGAAGGAAAATCTGTAAACACAATATTCCATGTTGTGGAAGGAAGATTTAATGGTGTCTAGACATCAGTTTTTCCCATCTGATGAACAGATTCTGTAGAACAGCAATCAGAATCCCAGCAAATCATTTTGTGGATTTCAACAAACTGATTGTAAAACCCCCTAAAATAACCAATACAATACTGAAGAACAAGGACAGAGGACTGACCCTGACTCCGGCGATCAACGCAGTATCATACTGATGAAAGAAAAACAGACAAATAAGTTAATGGAATAGAAAAGAGAGCCTGGAAACAGACCCTCACCCACAGTCACGTGACCTCTGACAAAGGACAAAGGTAATTCCAAGTCTGTGAAAAACACTGTTATGAAAAGGAAGAGACAAGTTACAGCCCGAGAGAAAATCTTTTCAAAATACATATAGGATTTAAACATGTATATCTTAAATATATGAATGAGTCTCAAAAGACTGGGGTTGTAGACGGGTCCTAGAGCCCTTGCCTAGCAGCCATGAGGGTCTGAGTTCCACCTCGCTATTAAAATGTCCCGGTACCACTTTAAAAATAGCACAAATATCTGAATAAACAAACAAAAAAAGATACAGAGGTTACAAATAGGTATACAGAAAGTACTTGGCATCGTACGTCACTAGGCAATTGCACACTAAATTAGTGATGGCACTGGTGCACTCTTCAAGGAGCTGAAATTCTAAATGCTGGCAATAGCACATGGTGGCAGGAGATGGGCGTCAGGAGCTGTCACGCACTGTGGAAACGCACGTGGCACTGTAGAAGATGGTTCCTACGAAGTGACATGTTCAGGTGACCCTACACATGGGCTGAGCCCGTGATCTAACAATCGTACTCTTAGGCATTTGTCCAAGTGATCTGAAAGCTTTGCTCATGCAAAAACCCAACACAAATGTCACAGCAGCTTCTTAATTGCTGACAATTGGAAGCAACTAAGATATTCTACCATAAGTGAGTGAATAAACAACCAGGGGGTGTAGGAACAATGGAAATTACACATCAATAGAAGGAAAGATGCCACCAAGCCCCAAGAAATCACGGAAGAAACTCGGGTGTGTGCCAAGTGAAACAGCCTGTCTGGAAAAGGCTACATGCCCATGACTCGCACGATAGGTCAGTGCGGACAGGGAGAAGCTAGAGGAACGTGAGGGTCAGTGCTTTGCGGGGAGTGAAACGGCTGACCAAACGGAGCACAGGGTGTTTTTAGGGTGACAGAGCTATTCTGTAGGATACCTTAATGGCAGATACATATTTGTCAATACCCACATAATCATACAACACAGAAAATGAACCCTAACATAAATCATGGGTTATAATTAATAACAATATATTGATACTGGTTCATTAATGTAACAAATCGATCACAATAATGCAAGATTTTAAAAGTAAGGGAAAATATGTGGGGGCTATGTGGGGGCTACAAGGGACAGATGGAAACTATACTTTTCTGCTGTAAGAGAGAATCTGATACCACTTTAATAACGGCTGTTAAAACAACAGTAATTAACATATTTAGATGTAATTAGAAATGATACTAACAGAGTAACCACTCATTCTGGTTTTCTCAGGACACTTCTAGGTAATATTTGTTACTCTGGAATCCCATCTGGATTACTATTTGCCACTCTCAAAAGTATATTGGGTTGGATGATAAATTACGTGGTCATACTGGAGAAAAAGATATTTGTGCTGTTATATAAAGAAGTCCTATAGAGAAAAAGAAAAAAGGTAAACCAGAAAAAAATAGGCAATGTATATAAATAAGTCTCAGCATTTAGCCTACTTATAACTATGACTAAAGGGAGGTTTTCTGGGGTTTTTTGGTAAGAAATGTATCGTCAGATCAGTTTAAAGAAAACATTCAATCTATGGCTTCTAATTGAGGGGTTTAGACAATTTACATTTAATTTTTCATTCCAGTGCTTGGAGTAGCTAGATTAATGTAGTTCAAAGCAGATTTCAGAGTAAGGAATATTTCTAAAGATAAAGAAGCTCACTTCATAAAGGATCCGATTCAAGAGAACATCGTGATACAAATGTACTGTGGCAGACATACAGACAAACAATGGGAAGACATAGACCAACCTATGATCACAGTCACGGACTGCAAACCTTCATGTTCTTATCTCATAATTTTCTATTCTTGTTAAATGTTTCTATTCTTTTATCTCTTTAAATGCTTGATTAAATGGAAAGCCTTTTTCAGATTTCTTTATCATCTCTAGTTTCTCTGATGCGGTTACCCCATCGGTTGAGCCTGTAGAATGTCTCTTGGCTTTGGACTTGCTGACACGCTGGCCCCCCTTGCCTGTGAGCTCATCTCCAGCGGGAGCTCTTTTCCCAGGAGTGCCGTGCCGGTAAGCCTCCTTACAGGTAATTTCATTACTGCCTCCTCCCACTCTTTTTTTAGGTTGGTCTCTTCGGACTCTCCACAGTTTCAGCCCCATTTTTCATACCTAGCAGATTTTTCTTCTTTCTGAGCTTGGCTATATTTTAAAATTAAATTTTAAAAAGTTACATAACATTGTGCTATTTGGAACCAGTTTGGGAAAGTCCCATAGCTGATTTGATTTTGGTTTTGATTAGATGTCTTAATAGATCTCCCCAGACAAAATATTGAAGCCAGTCTTCCCTGACCTCTCTGAGTGTTGTCTTTTGTCCCGAAATTATAAAATTATAAGTTTTTTTTTAACTGAGAAAAATTACATTTCAGGACTGCAAGTCGGTGTCTGGGTTTTTGAGGAGGCTAAACTTGCTTTGGGGAAGATGGTCTTGTGCTTCAGAAGGCACCGCTCGAGCTGACCCCTGAGCTCTGTTAACACAAAGCCAGGACCTGCCTATCTGTCTTGGTGAGTATGAAAGCACTCTGGGATCCTAAGAGAGATTACTGACTCATGAGATGTTAATACCCCTTAGTAATATACATGTAGTGAATTGGTTGAATTATGTCTCCGAGGGTTGTTTTATTTAGAACTCTACCATCTCCTAATTTGGAATCGGACTATCCTATGCCTGAAATTGGTGTGTTCTCACAAAGTTGTGTGTATTACTCTGGGATCAGTTGTTTGCATACGATAAGGAGCTGGGTGGGGGCAGAAGCCCTCCCGTCCTTATTTTAGGGGGAAGCTGCCTGGCACAGCCCAAGCAGGACTGGGACCTGGTGTCCCACAGGAGATGCTGTATTAATTGCCAACTTTGGGGAAATGTTCTGTAGGTATCGTTTGATATCCCCACGATCAGCAATGCGAGGAAGAGGCTAGTCGTGGGGCAGGACGAGAGAGTTAAGATGAAAACATGACTTCTTGGGGATGGGGTAACTTGGGGTCATTGAGACCTGGATTGCAAACAGAGGCGGTGGGCGTGGCTTGGCAGCGGGAGAAGCTTCATCCTGAGGTGTGCAGGGCCTGAGAAAACTTGGAAGTCAGCCCCGGGTCCACGCTCTCAGCAGAGCCACTGCTTAGAACGGTGAGAAGATGCATCTGGTGGGTGCTTCTGTTTTCCCCGAGGTTTCTTTTGAGTCTGGCTGCGGTGCAGAGAACTCTGAAGAGCGCTGGCCCGTGCTGTGTGCTTGGCAGGAGGGAGAGAGGCCTGGAGGCTCCGGGTACAAAGGGGCTGGGCAGGGAACTGGGCACAGCGGTGGTGGGTGGAGCTTCAGCAGGAAGCTGGCTGGCAGATGCCAGGCTTTGCAGGCCATCGTGACTGGGCCTTGCTGTGGGAGCTGCTGAAGGACAGTTAGAAAGACGGTGGTTTACCATACTGTCCCCACCACGGAACTGGAGGTGGAACCCAGAGCCTCACGTGTAGTAAGCAGGTGAGCTAAACTGCCTGCCTGGAAGCTAAACTGCTGAAGGGCATTTAAAAAGATGGGCGGTAGCCACGTGTGGTGACACACACCTACTATCCCCGTTGTTGGGGATGTTGAGCCAGGAGGACCCCAAGTTTGAATCAAGCCTGGGCAACTTAGTTACTTAGCAAGACTACATCTCAAAATACACAATTTGTAAAAAGAGGGTGTTCCGGGGATGTAGCTCGTGTGAAGGCCTTGGGTCCAATTGCTAGATATTTAAAAAAAAATTGTATGGTGATCAAACTTGCGTTGTATAGAAAGACAAACTGGACTCTTAGATGACTCTATAGAGAGATGCAGTAGAGATTTGCTCTCGTCTACCCAACGCCTCTTCGTCCCTTGAGATGACAGAACCCCCTCCTGTGGGGACGTGTTCCACATGGTGTAGTGAGAATTGACTGAATCTTGCCCGAAATAGTGTCAACCAACCGGGCCTAGAACTTGCCCAAAAGAGTTGCTAAGAAACATCTTCTTGCTTGGCAGAATGTGGATGAAGGCGTTGCAGGGGATCAAAAGGTCTTACTGCCGTGTGGAGGAGAAATATCCATGGGATGGCAGGAGAAAGCCTGAAGGCTGGAGTTTGAGGCGTAAAGGTTCAGTGGTGGACAACGTCCAGTGGAAACAGTCGGAAGAGGAGGTTGCTGAGACCTAGATTCAGCCATTCCTGAAGCTTCCTTGATCTTTGCTTTCTCATAACCAGCACTGCTTTTCTTCCTGATTCCAATTTGTTGTGTTTCTTTCACTTGTAAGTGAGAGAATTAACAGTAGCATGTTCTCCCTGGTGTGCTCTTCTCTCGGCTCGGTGTCCTCTGTACATATTATGTCTGAGGTGGTTTGTAGGTCACCTAGTCAACCTGGTCAACCTCTTTTGGATTAAGAGAAGGCCACACAAATTCTCTGGGGAAGCCTTTCTAAGGGTTATACTACAAAAAAGTACCAGATGGACTCTTCTCTGACGAAATTTAGCTATGAGTTTGATTCCCAGCAGTTAGTGATGGTGAGGCCTCTGGAGGGGTCCTGGCCAGGGCTATGTGATTTGAGGGCCATGCCTGTCTATGAAGAATCAAAAACCTTTATTAAAATTTGTTTAAGAGAAAAAAAGACACAGAAAAGGAAACAAAAGGCAAAAGAGACAAACAAACAACAAACTCAAAACAATAACAGTATAGGTTAACAAAACAAGATTTTAGGAATTTGACAATGGTTGTAATATTGCGTATTGTTACCTTCAAAAGGGCTGCTTAGATTATCAGATATAGACGTGGGAAATTGGTCTAAACATATGAGTATTAACTGTTATTTTCCAAGAATTAATATAATTAGTAGTACAGTCATTTTAGCTAACACACACACACACACACACACACACACACACAGATTTGTGTCTTTTTCCTTTCCCTTCCTTAGAACAAAGAATCTTGGCTTGGCTATGGGAGCTCTGAAGTCAGATCTGGAGGGAAAGGAGTGTGTCCCTCTTTTATAGTCCAAAGCATCCCAGGGTTACCCCAAAATACAGGTGAACTCACTCCGTCCTCTTAACTGGCTGTTAACGAGCCAATCCATAATTTGCAAGTTGCTTTAAGAAAAGGCAAGAGGAGAAACCAACCACCAGCCTTTCTGGTAAGCTGTACAAGCCACATGGCCTCCAGGAAGAGAAAAGTCGGTCCTCCCATGAGCCTGTTGGTGTGGACTGGGAATCAGATACCACCGCCCCTCCAAGCAACCCCCTCCAGCAGGCCTGAGCATCTCCTGGGGGGTGACTGTAAGCAGTATAGCAAATATGGGGGATTTCCTTCTATCTTGTCTTTGAAGTCCAATATTGTTCTCACCGTTTTGCTTTGCTCTGATGAATTGTTTTGCTTTATTCAATATTGTTTTGATTGGTTTTATTCTGTTTTGTTTTTGGTTTGATTTTGCTAAACCTGATGGAATGGACAACTATTGTGAAGATAACAAGATGCACTATGGTAGCTATTTCTGTTTTCCTAGTATCCTGCTTTAAAGTTTTGTACCAACTTTGCTGCTTTGTTTTGATTGGCTCTGTTCTGTTTTGTTTTGTTGGATTTTACTATCTTTGAAATAAAAATAAAAAATAAAAGAAAAGGCCAGAGGAAAGGAACAGGGAAAACAGATTTGCTTTTATTATCTGAGTGGAGGTGAGGTGTAAGTGTGTGTGTGTGTGGTGTGCACACATGTGTGAAGCAAGCAGCAGCATACTCACCTCCTTCCTGATCTTCCAAGGATGTCTACAGTCCCTTGGTTAAGGTGACATGAGGACCTGTCTTCAGCAGAACACACCAGGACATAAACTAGAAGATGGGCTGCCTCCAGGCTCCACGGGGCCTGCGCCGAACCTCAGCAAGTCCTGCTTTGTCTTCCTGTAACTTCCTAGCAAGTCACAAAATTAAAACCCAGGTGACTTCTGTTTGGGGAACTCCAAGTCTTATGGCCTTTTGGGGCCACCATACCTTTTGATATACAAGAGCAAATGGGTGAAGCCCTCAACCCCAAATAGAGGGAAACTCAGGGCTTCCTGGGAATTTGCTCTCAATCCCTTTTTACTCTGATATTTTCCCCGTTTTTACCTTCTTCCCTTCCTCCCTGCTTCCTTCTTTCCTTCCCTCTCCTTTCCTCCTGGGGCTGTTTTCTCCTTTTTTGTCTTGTGTCAAAACAAATGTAAACACAGACCTTTCCCTTGATTTCCCCAGAGTAGCTCTAACATATTTTTTTTCATAAGTGCAGCTGGGAGAGGTAGTTGCATTTAGCACCAAAAAGCACCTTAAAGTCACAAATATCAGCTGTTCCCTTGCTTATGTCTCCTCTTCCGCCAGCCAGCTCCCCTCCCCGGGGCCCAGACTTCACCAGCGTCCCCCACCCCTCCGGCTTCCCTTCCCCTTCTCCCGTGGGGGGCTCAGCTCTACCCCTCCTCCGGCTGACTCCAGGCCAACCCTGGCCTCTCAGCAGCCTGCTGAGGACCAGCGTTGAAATGACTTTCCTTCACCGCAGCGGCATCCTTCCCTTACCAGCCTCTACAGGCGTGTAAAGATCCATCGTCCCTTTGATATGAACTATGTCACCTCCTTAGAGGGCAGAAGTAGGTGGAGTAATTCTGTTGGCTGTTTAAGCTGGAGCTTTTCTTTCCTGCTGCTCAAGCTTAGCTGCAGCCCAGAGTTGCTGGCATCGGCCCTTCCTGCCTAGTTTGATGTGCCCTACTCCAGCTGCTCCACCATCCCGCTAGTGAGCACACCGGAGTCCCACTCTGCCTCACAGCCAAAGAGCCTTTTAAAATAACCCAAGCTCTTATTCCAGGTATTCTGCCTCCCAAGCTGAAGTACAGCCTTGGGGTTCCTTGAGACATGCGACCCTCTTCTTTCTCCTCCAGCAAGATCTTGGAGCCTGCTGATTGCCTTTGTGTGGCTGAGAGTGTCACAGTACGTGATTGAGACCCAGGGCCCCTAGGCCCGGTAGGGCCCCTAAGCCTATCAGGTCCCGGGAACCTTGCAGAGCACCTGTTCATGGGAAACACTCTAAAAACATTCACCTGGCTAACCCAGGCACCACCATGCCCTGGACCCTAGGGAAAATGGCTCAGACTGGGATTTGCTTCCCTGGCCTTGCAGAAACTGTATGCTTTTCATGCTGGTATCGGCCCAGGAAGCCTGGGAAGGGTAAGGAGCCCTGTACTGAGAGGTGAGATCCAAATCCTGGCTGTTTCTTCCTGAAAGTAACTTCAAGGGGACAGGTAGCCGCGTCCCTGCTTGGGCCTCTGTTATCTGAAGAACAAAGAGCTAGACTAGATGAGGCCCAGAAGCTAAGTGAGTCCTGGCAAGGGGTGACCTTACTTAGGGCAGGAGTTCATCATGGTGCCTAGAGGTAGATGCCCGGCAACAGCGGAGGCAGGGCTGACCCTGCTCGGTGGGGGTCAGGACTGTGTGGCTACTGTCCTTGGAGGCCTAGGGTGCTGGATTCCGAGGAACTGAAGAGGACAGTGTGCCTGTAACGAGTACTGGAGGCGGTCACTCGGGACAGGACTGGGGAGTTGGGCAGGTGCTGTAGAGCTGTATCTCAGGGCAGTGGAGACCCTGGAGGAGGCTCTCAAAGGCAACCTGCACAATCTACCTATATTCTTAAAATACCATGTTCAGCCTGGGGCTGCATCTCTGCAGTAGAGCATTGATCTAGCATGAATGAAGCCCTGGATCCCTGACTCTGAAAAAAAGAAAAAGAAAAACAAGACAAAGAGAAAGAGAAAGCGCTTCTGTGGAGAGCAGACGAGCAGGAGGCTCAAAGGGAACTGGATGAGGGCGAGAGGGGAGCAGCCTTGTGCTAGGAGGATGCCGTGGGGATGAGGAAGCGTGCGTGAGGAGAAGGCACATTTTGCCGGTAGGACTGATCACTGTGGCCACCAATATGGCGAGTGAAGATGCTGGACACCTTGGGTCTCCCAGCACCTAGTCAGGGCTGCGTGAACGCAGTCAGCCTCAGAAGGAAGGATCGTCGGATCCACTGAGAGCCTGTACAACTTTGCTGCCGGCTTAGATACTGTCTTAGTTGAGGTATAAAATCTCACGTGTTCAGAAGTGGCACTCTTGGCAGGTGGGTGGATCACAGGGACAATGCATCCATCACTGGATGGCTGAATGTGCTGCTAGCCGGTGGGGCTGGTTGGACGAGGTGTGTCGCTGGGGGTGTTTATTTGGAGGGTACATCTGTCTTTCTATCTGTCTTTCTGGCTTCCCCCTTCCCTCTCTGCTTCTTGGCTGCCATGGGTTGAGCAGTTCTGCTCTCCCATGCTTTTCCACAATGCTGTTTCTGCACTGGAGCAACCAACCATGGACTGAATCTGCTAAAACTATAAGCCGAAATAAGCTTCTCCTCTTTTTAGTCACAAGTAGTAGATATTTTGTCCTAGTGACAGGAAAGCAACTAAAACAAAGGTGACTAGGTGGGAACCTCAGGCCTCTCTCCAAGTGATATTGAGAGGAGGAAAAAAATGAGAGGAGCTTGTGACAATGGCTGGAGCTTCTGCATGAGACCCACGTGTGACCCACATGTGAGAAAGTCCTCTATCTTCTGCACTGGTTTCCCATTCTCTGTGGTGGTGAGGAAAGCCCCTGCTAATCAAGCTTCAGAAACCTTGCTTCTAGATGTGGTTCTGGTTCAGCCTGGCTACTCCAAGTCTCAGATGGCTTTGGGATGACTTCAGGGCTCTACCAACCAGGACTGGCTGACAGGTGATTCCATCAACTGAGTTTGCTGGGCCTGTGATGGGTTGGTGCTCTTTGGGGAGAGAGAGAGAGAGACATGTGGTCCTGTGAAACAGGGAAAGAGAAAGAGCAGCAAATAGGGGTTTGGTGAGAAAGGGGGGGCCACTTGCTAAATAAAATGTAAATGAAGCCCACAGTGGCTGCCAAGGAGCGAAAAGTGACTGATGAAAACCTTATGTCTCTGAGTAAGTGGCCCGAGAAGCCTGCTGTGTGCACGCGGTGATGGTGTTGCTGTTGGTCTCTATGCAATGGAAAAATCTCCTATTTTAAAGAATACAGCGTTAAGAGGCTCTCCGAGACAAACCACGTTTCGCAGTTAACTAGTTTACAAGGTCAGTAACGGAAAGACAAAGTAAGTCAGCTGAAAATGTCTTGCTCAATAACAAAAGTTGTTTAAAAGCTCAACGTCACACGCCAAAACTGTAAGATAGGCTCACTCTGCAGCTGGCTTGTTTTGTTTTTCTTGCTTAAATACTTCTTCAGGGATAAAGAAGCACTTAAAAGTACTTTCAGGTACCAGGGTGGCTATTGCATTCCCTGATGTCTGAAAAATGAAAGCAATATTTGTAAAACATACAAACTTACTGTTACTTTTTCTAATTTGACCCCGAAGCAAACTAAAACAAAGGCAAACCTCACGACTGCTCGTTCTTAGTCTGCGGCACAGAATTCTAATTTCCTCACCCAGCACTCAGTGTGCTGTGCTTCGGACTGGAATTTTCCCCCATGGAGTATGCCCCCTGCCCCTGGCCGCTATGTCCCGTCTGCAGGATGGGGCTTGAGGTCAGCTACGTTTCCCTGGATGCTGTTTCTCCTGGCTATTTGAGAAAATGGTAGCTATTCCTTCTGGGGAGGGTGCTGGGGATGGAACCCAGGGTCTTATGCATGCATGCCCTTTACTACTGAGCTACATTCAAGCCTGTATCCAAATTCTATCTATCCTGCTAAAATTTCTATGGAGATCCAATTCGCCATGAAATGTTCTGTCTTGTCATCTATTTTCTTGACCATATTAATCACAGCTATTTTAAAGTGTGGATCAGAAAACCCTGAGATCTGGATCCCCTGTGGGGCTGTTTCTATTATGGAGATGCTTTTGGGCTCTGACTGATGTTACCTTTCATCACAGAGGATTTATTTTTGCTTTCCGGAAGGCAGTCAGAGGAGCAGAAGGTCATCCTAATCCAGCCTGGGATTGAGCTGCTTTGCCGCTGGCGGGTAGACTTTGTGAGGCTCGCTCTATTTCTAGCCCCTTCCCCTCATGTATAATTTCTCTGGGGTGTTCACTGAAGGCCCAGCTGGTCTGCGAGGGCCTGTCCTCTTTGGTGGGACTTCAGTTCCAAGTCTGTTTTCCAAGCTCACGAGGCTGCCAACAGCTCTGCTTGGCTCCCAGTCTCTCAGCAGAGCTCTGCCACTTGGGTGGGCCCTTGGGGAAAAGAGCCTTTGACTTTGACATTGACCTCCCATGTTTCTTCTCTTCCAGATACCCCTGACCCTCTGCTTGGCTTGCAGTGTGAACTCCAGATTTGACTCCTAGCCACAGGACGCCTACCAAAAGTCCACTTCAAGTTCTCAGCTGCTTTGCCCCCACCTTCTGCTTTGTGTTTACCTCTTGGTCACCTGCTGCTCCCTAATCAGCAAATGCTGGTGGAGGACGGGAAGCACCTTTGAATGTTATCTCCATCTGCCTGCTGCCCTCTGGCTCCCGACCTTTCCAGTCTGAGCCACCTTTAATCAGGTAGCTTTGGGATTCTGTTTTGGTTACTCCTGATTAGAGGACTGGCCTCCAATGAGTCACCACAATCCCCCCCCCCCCAAGCCACTCCGTTAGACTGTGAGCTCCCTGAGGGCAGGGATCTCCCCCGGGTTCTTTCCATCACCACTGAGGCCTCTAGCCGACCTCCTAGTTTTAAATGTCACCAGTGCACAGCCTGAACCTCTGTTCTGAGCTGGATCTGGTCCTTATTTCCACGTCTGTCACACGGACACCTCAAACTCAATACATCCAAAACCTTACTCTTCCATCCCAAGCTGCGTCTCCCCGCTTTCTGCTGCTTTGGGTCAGAACCTTGTGGACGACCACTGACAATTTCCGCTACCTCCCCTGCCACATCCAGTGTCCAAGTGTGGCAGGACTCCACCTTGAGGTGTCACATGAAGTCATCCAGTTCCCTCCTTGCAGCCACAGCCACGTCCCCGCCACCGTGCCTGTCCTGCTGGCCGCTCAGTAGTCTCCTCACGGTTCTCCCCTGAGCTCCGTGGCCTTCTTCCAACTGGGGAGAGTGATCCCTTGAAAACAGAAATCTGATTATGTCATTTCTCGGTATCACACCCTCCAGTGCTTCCCATTGCCTGTAATGGAAAGCTGGGAAGAGAGAGCCTCAAGGAGCCATGGGCCCTCAGGGTCTGCGCTGCTGCCTCTGCCCTTCCCTGTCCAGCAGGCACGGCAGGGTTCTCTCGGGGTCCCTTCCCGGAAGCTGGTCTTCTGCCAGGACACACCTCTTCCCTGCGTCTGCCTCTCCGTTGCCCGTTCTTTCAGGCCTAGCGCGATGTCCCCTCTGCAGAGGAGCTTCTCTGACCTCTGGGTAGATTACGTAACCCTGTTAGCTCACTGCCACTGTGTCCCCGGCTCTGATCACAACACAGCCGTGAACGTGTAGTTAACTGAGTGATTGCGTTTTTGCCCTGCTCTCCTCTCCTTAAGGCCACAGATTGTGGCTGTCTCAGTTACTGCTCTATCCCCACGAGCTGCAAAGTACCTAAAAGACCTTAAAAGAGTCCTAAATGATGTTTTAAGTAAATGAAATAAAAATCAGACAAGGGGGCAGATGGTCACCCCCAGGCCCCAGCTTCACTGCATGGCTGGGGGCGCTCAGCAGAGGGGGAAGCTGGGTCAGGGCTATTAGTTAGCAAATGTCTGAGACCATGACCGTAGAAATAAGAACTAAACTGCGGTCTAAGGCAGTCTTCCTATTCCTGAGCATAAAGCACTGGCTAGGGAGCCCACAGCTCTGGGTTCCAGTCCCAGGACTGACACAAATCCTGACAAGTAGCTGTTTGCAAAGCATTTCCACAGACAGGATCTCATTAGACAGGCTCTGTGACCTCCAGCAAACAGCTTTTAGAGGCCTGTGGGAGGGGGAAGGCCTCACAGGCAGCTGTGCTGTGCTCTCCCCTGGTCCTGAGGTAAGTCTCTGCTCGGGGCGCCATCTCTCCTGCCAAAGCAAAGGCTCCAACAAGGTGACCTCTAAGGTTCGTCTCTGAAATCTTAGAATTAAAAATTCACAACTCATTACATCATAAAGCAAGTTGGAGGGGACCCCTTTCTTGTCACATAGCTTTTCCTCCCTTTCAGCTCAGGTGCCAGGGTAGTGCCACCAGATGTTCCTAGCACTGTCGGGGTGGCTCCCCATGGTGCCATGTGAACACAGACTGTGAGACAAGGCTTTTGTGTGGGATTTTGAGAGCCAATGCCAGGAAGGAGAGGCTCAGAAAGAGGCAGGAAAGAGAACAGGCTGGGTGGGCATGCGGGTGCGCCTGGTCCGCTCTGCCTTCTGAGGCCCTTGACCTTCTGGATCCGCAGAGCGCCTCCAGAGTCCTCTCCCAGAAGCCCAAGTGAGGAGGTGACTGTCCACCACCTCCCACGCTCACTGAGTGCTCGAGGCAGCACTCACCAGTGGGAGGCGGCTGAGCCCCCGTGGGCCCGTCTACACAGAATCACACCAGGGTGTGATGTGGAGGCCAGGATGTCGGAAGGAAGCTGGAAAAAGGGCAGGGTCACCCCTCTCAGGGCCCAAGGACATTCCTTCCACACTCCCATGAACACGCGCCGTTTCATGAATGTCAAGGACCCTCACCCTCTTTTCTGGGAAGCTCTTCAATATCCGGGCTATTGAGAACGGGGAGGGAGGATGCCCATTATCTGAGCTCAGTAGAATCTTGGGAAAGAAGCAGCTCTTTCGGCTGGGACCTGAGTGACAGCCAGGATGGAAGCTGTGACAGTCTTGCCGCAGCTAGGTTGGGGTGGTTTATGTTCCCCCCCTTGCACATGTGTGGGGCACCCCAGAGTTGGTAACTTCTAGGCTTCCAGTGGAGAGAGCCTCGCCAGCCTCCCCCGGGGGCACAGTGCTTTCTCTCTGCCCTTCCTTTATAAACTCCAGTCTTTGCTTCCCTCAGCCTGGCCCTCTGATTCTCAAATGTCTGATTTATTAATAAAAAAAGGAGCCTTGGCTGTGTGTAGCTTCTCTCACCCCTGCTGTAACAATTCTACTCTCCTCCAGGCAATGTGAAGGGCAGACTAAAGGGAAAATTGTGTCTTATGGGAAGATGGGGAGAAAGAACATCAGGATGTAAATTTCTGTGTATTTCTGTCCATGGACTTCTGAGCCCAGGGTTTCTGAGATGTGCGCATGCGCTGTGGGAGGCCATCAGGTCCTGTTTGGCACTTCAAAAGGGCCTCCGTGGACTCTGCTTCCTGGCCAGTCCTCTGAGCTCCTGTGGGAGCTTCTAGGCCTTGCCCTCAGGCCGGGGTAGCCAGGAGCCCCACCTGGGTGCTCTTCCCTCCCCACCAGTGTGCACTTCTGCTCTGTACCGAGCCAGGTCTCAGGGAAGCCAGGCGCCAGCCCCAGGTCCTCAATGCACCAGAGGTGCTTCTGACCCCCACTGCCACCTTTGGATTTTTCGTCCTCTCTGTCCTAAGACCGTGCAGGACAGCCCTTCCATCCTGTTCTTTCGGCCTACCCATGATGTCTCCAGAGAAACCGTGCTGTCCCGCAGGTCTGCCTCTTGCTCCGCCACAGCAGGAATTTATGACCTCTCCTTGGACAAAGCATAGCTTTCCAGGCAGCTGGGAACCATCGCAGAAGGCTGGTTGACTTCGGTTGAGCTGGCTCAACAGGGCTCCACCCTAGCCTAGCACCGAGCTGCCCTGGAGGGAGACCCCCAGGCTGAGGAAATAGTACTCTATCCTCTCCTTCACACATTCCTTTAATAATATTTATGGTATGTGCCAGTGGTAAGTTAGAATTTAAACACCCCTTGACATTTAAGAAAATAACAGCTTTAGATATAATTGATGTATTATACAATTCACTTTGTGAAATATGTACCTCGGTGGGTTTTAGGCTTTTCAAACTTGTACCCCCCATGGCCACCATCTAATTTTAGGACATGTTCTTTTCTCCAGAAAAAAGCCCTATACCCACTAGAAGTCGCTCTGCCATCTCCATTATTTTGGATCTCTGGGTTTGTCTATTCAAGATACTTCATATCAATGGATTTGTGATTAGCTTCTTTCATTTGGTATGTTTTCAATATGATTTTATCCACATTGCATCATGCATGTATACTTCATTTCTTTTTATAGCCAAATAATGATTTATTGTACACATTGTATTTATCCATGCATCGTTATTGACTGTTGGGTTACCTCTGCCTTTTGGCTCTTATGAATAACGCTGCCATGAACAACCTTGCATGAGTTCTCACGTAGACAAGTTTTTATTTCTCTTGGGTACAGACCAAGGAGTAGGGTTACGTGGTAACTCCACCCTTTGAGGAGCTGCTAGACTTTTCCAAGAGGTTGCCGGATTTATTGTTCTCATTAGCAATGTATGAGGGCTCCCATTTCTCTACCTCCTCACCCCCACTGGGTATTTTTCTTTTTTAAAATAGTCACCCTTGCAGGCAGGAAGAGGTTTGCATTTGCCTCTCTTTCCTGATGATTGACAGAACTGAGCACCTTTTCAGGTACTCAGGGCCATTCATACGCTGTCTCAGGAGCAATGTCTATTCAAATTCCTTATTTTAAAATTCTCTTTTTATTGTTGAGTTGTAAGAGTTCTTTACATATTCTGGATACAAGTTCTTTTTTGATGCCTTTTTTTGAATTTTAAGAGACATCTAAATCAAGGTGGAAGCAGGCGTTGTTTTTTTAAAGAATCATCCTATGTTGCAAGGTGACAGAAACCTTACAAAGAATGCATTCCATCCCACACTGGCCCTAGAGGGAAGAGGACACTGTAGAACTGTCCTTCCTTAGGGCCACTTCACTGCTCGGTGATGCCCATTTCAAATCCTTGCTGAAGAGGAGTCACAGAGCCCCAGCGGGCTAGACGGGGAGGAATACAGACTGGTTAATCAGCATCATAAGAAGGATTTTCCTTTTTTTCTTGTTTAAAGCACAGGCTTTTTTTTTGGGCAAACGAGATGGTATATTAAAAGCATTTTGGAGTTGTAAAGGCATATGCAAATATAAGGTGACATTCTTATTGTTACTATTGTTATTTGTGGGAACCACGGAAAATCTCATCCTGGATGAAATCACAATCACAAAGTCTGCAGAGGTAAGATGAGGTGGGGGGATGAAAGTTGGGGGAAGCTTGGTTGGCAAACCTTAGAGAGAGTGAAAACAGAGACCTTTGTGATTTCTGGCTCATTCCTTTAACCACCTGTGTAATAATTTACTTAATATTTTTTTAAGTGAGCTCTTATTTTTTTTAAGTAAATAGATATAAATAGTGGAAAGTTTGTGTTGCAGTTATAAATTACCAACCTGCATCATTTTCTCAATATGAAAACAGACAGTGTTATTTAAGTCTCTGGATCCCGTTGCCCTCTGGGCCTAGAACACGGTCCCGTCATGTCACCCTGGCTCACCACATGTCACTAACGTCCTGCTCTGGTAGCACCTCTGCTGACACTGCTCTGGCCCCCCGTGGCTCCAGCACCAGCCAGCGCCAGCCTCTGGGCTGGTCCTGCCTTTGCACCGAGCTGCTGTGGGCTGTGGCTCGCAGGTTCCTTGGAGTCCACACGGACAAGCATTCTTTGTGCTGTTAACCCAGCTCCGACCCAGCTCCCTGTCAGCCGACAGGGGCTGAGTCAGAAGCTAAAAGCTCCGAGGTGCCAGCCCTTCTCTCCAGGTGTTTTGTTGTCCTTGTTTTTAGCAAGTGTCCCTGGGTGTTAAAGACACAGCCAGCAGGTGCCAAGCTGCCATTTGCACCTCGTGTAATCAGGAGGTGAGGGAGAAGGAAGCTGGTTCTCAGGGTGTGATCTCAGAGGTGCGCTGGGTCCCTGAAATCCCCCACCCCTCCATGCCTTGGGGATACCCAGCCCTGCAACTCACCCACCTCAGCAGCATCACCACCTCATCAGTGTCCTCCTTCCCCGGAGAGAAGTCAGCACACTCTGCTCCTCTCCGGAGCTGCTGTGGGGATGAATAGCCCTGGCAGACACACATGGCAGGTAGAAGCCACTCAGAACAGGACAGCAGGAAATCAGGGACTCAGCAGAAGATGGGATTTAGTTGTGACTTTGCCTGCTGAAGTCCTACCCCTCCTTCCAGGCCTTAACCTTTTTAATGTTTCTCTCTGTCTCTCTGTCTCTGTCTCTGTCTCTGTCTCTGTCTCTGTCTCTCTCTTTCTCTCTCTCTCTCAGTACTGGTGATTGAATCCAGGGTTTTTGCACTAGTTACACCCCCATCCCCCTTTAAATTTTTTTTTCTGTTTGTTTTTGAGACAGATGTTAAGTCTGTGAGTCTCTAAACTACCTAGGAGGAGTTTAAACTTTTATCTTCCTACCTTGGCCTCCCAGAATGCTGGGATTACAGGCATTTGGCACCATCCCTAGCTCAGTCCCAACTTTTAAAAGTAATAATACTGTCTATCCTTTATTAAGTACTCAATAGGTATTGACCCACATCATTTTATTTTACCCTTAAAGAAAAAATGTTCATCAAGTGGGGATTTATTTGTTCCATTTCACAGATGAGGAAAGCTGAGACTTATAGTCATTTTATGAATTGCTCAAGGAGCTACAGCAAGGAAGGATGCAGCCAGGGCCTCAGTCTGTCGAAGCTCAGTCTGTCAACCGTTGAGTGTTAACAGCCATTTAAATGGCAGAGTCCACACGAAGATTTCCTGTCCAGCAGTTATGGCTCTACTGTTCCCTCTGATGCTACTGGTCTCCATCTCCAGAGGTGTGTGTGTGCACGCTGAGCATGCAGCTCTTGAGGTCCCAGGGCTGAGTGGGTCCCTGGCACACCCGCTACCACACTAGAGTCTGTGGGGTAAATGAAAGATTCTGGGCTCCATGCGGCTGCCTTTCCAGAGACACGGATTAGCGGCACTGGGGAGCCCCGTGGCTCTTTACCTAGGAGGGTGTGGGAAGGACCAAGAGCCCAGCACCGTTTGCTCAGGACAGGCATGCAGACCTTGCCGGGAAGGGAGGGCAGTGGCTTCCAGCCGCCCTTTGAGTTGCGACACTGGTGGCTACGCTGGCTGTTTTTGTTTTGCCCAATCCACTGTCCGATCTGCTCCACCCTGCCCTGCCCCTGCAGAGGTCAGGGGAAGAGGAGAATGCTATGTGTCATTGGGTCAGGGCTGGTGGCTGCCACGTTAGGAGTCCAGGATGCTGCACAGCCCCGGGTGGGTCCCAGGACGTCCTGACCTCACCTCTGTGTGGTGTCCCGTTGTGAGAAACTCTCCCTAATTTCCGCCTGCTTCCTCTGGGATCCCTGACTGGTGGCCTGGAATGTCTTTCGCTGAGCTTTTATTTGACCACCTTCTGAGGTCAGGATCTATCCTCTATTTCCCTGGCACAGTAGATGGGACCTGGTTCTAACATTTATTGAGCACTTACTTTCTCTGTGCTCCTGTGCAGATGAAGTCACTGAGACCCACAGGTTCCGTAGCTTGTCCCAGGCCAGCCACATGGTTTGCTGGGCCATGTGACTTCTAAGCCAACAGTGTGACTCTGAAGACTGGTTTTGGGCTCTCCTTCCATTTGTGGTTTTGAGGGTGATATCTCCCTCTTAGGCTGAAGAACCGAAAGAACTTGTATCTTTGCCACCTCAGGGGTAGAAGTTGGAACTGGGTTACCATGGCAACCAGATCAACTGGTTGCAACACTGGAGGAGTCCCTGGGGCCCAGGTTCTGCTGCTGCTGGCACGGGGAAGGCTGGGTTGGCATGGGCCAGTGTTTGAGGTCCCAGATGCACTGGGAGGACCTGGAGGAGTACCAGGTGGGTGGGTCAGGGAGAAGGTTCTGAGCAGGGCCGGGTGCTTTCCAAGGCAGGTGGGTGAAGGGAAGAACCTTTGCCCAAGGCGCTAGCGTTTGCCAGGCAAGGCAGGGGTGGCTGTTGCCTTCACTAAACCTGCTGCCATGTGGCTCAGACCCGTCCTCTGAGGCCCTCCCAGGCTCCTGATCCACAGCCCGGAGCTTTGGTTAGGTCTCCCAGGCCCACTGTAGGTCTGTGCTGCGGGCCTCTCTCCCAGAGCTGTGGGGAGGCAGGAAAGAGGCCGGAGTTCTCCATGCCTGCACCTCGGGCCTCTGCTGTGTCCTCGGCCATGGAACAGCCTTTCTCCTCCCCTCTATCCCCTGAAGCCCGCTGACTCCCAGGGGCCAGGGCAGGGCTGGACTGAGCGGCGGTCACCACTCTGATTTGTTGCAGGCCTTGACCTTCCTGACCAGAAATGAGATTCTGTGGTGAGTAGAGGGACGGGGCCCCTCTGCTCTCCCTCAGGCTGATTCTCCAGCCTCCCTCCCGTCTGTGTGTCTGTCCCTGCTCAGAGCCAGCAGCTGGGACAGGCCGCAGCCCTGGAGCTGGAGGAGGCCTCGGGTTGCTCTGCCTCTGCCTGGTGCCTCAAACCTGCCCTCTGTCCTTCCTTCCCTCTTTTCTTCCTTTTCTTCTCCTTCTCCTCCTCTTCTCTCTTCCCTCCCCTCCTCCTTCTGTCTTTTCTCCTTCCCTTCCTCCTTCCTTTCATGTTTATTTGTTTGTTTTTGGTTTTTTGGTACTAGAGATTTGAACTCAGGACCCCAACTTCTTTCCTTTACTTTGATCTGAGACATGGTCTCTACATTTCTCAGGCTGGGCCTGCACTTTCAATCTTTCTGCCTCAGCCTCCCAGAGTCACTGGGATTGTGGGTGTGTACCGCCAAAACCCAGCTAAGGCTGGTTTCTTGGTAGAATCATGGAGCTGGCAGGGCCTCCTCCTTGGGACAAGGAGAAGACGTCTCAGGGAAAGTAGGGCTGAAGCCTATTTGGGCCTAGCAGATGCTCGGCCTGGCCTTTCCTCCTCCCTGCCTGCCCAGGCCTCCCTCCAGGCTTCGAATGTGCCAGGTAGCATGTAGTTGGGGGTTGGGGTGCGCGGCCCCAGCCCTGTTGTTACACAGGCAGAGAGGGCCTCTGACCAGTGATAGCTGTCACCCAGTAAGGAGGTGCCACAGGTGCCCCCCTCCTGGGATCGTGGATGGGCTGAGAGGTGCAGAGTGCTTGACCTCAGTGTGGTGCCCTTCAAAGCCTGTTAGAGAAATAAATGAGCTTGTCCAGAACTTTCTGGGCAAGAGGGAGGGCTCTGGCCTGAGTCCCTCTCGTTCCCCTCTTCACCCCTGCCCAGACTAACCCTCCCCAGGCATCCCGTCCCGCCCGGAGCCCACAAGCATGAGATGCTCCAGCTACAAAGGGGACTCAGGGGTGGCTAGGTCACGGGGAGCTGGGGAGGTCAGGGGCAGTCATGGGGCTTGAGATTTTTCTCTTAAAAATAATGTTCTTTAAAAAAATAATGTTCTTGCTTTTTTAAAAATAGAAAAATATGACGATACCCCAAATGACCCATGTCCTACTATCCAAATAACCCCCTTGATAGTTTCTAAAAAGTAATTCATGAATAAAAATAAAATGAAATAAAATAACATGTGAACATGGTTAGAAATTCAAATAGGATAAAAATTCCAAATGGAAAGCGTGGTCTCCAGTTTGTCCTCTCTGTTGTCCCTGGATTTATTCCGTTCTCTGCTACTTTGTCATCTAGGCTCCCAGAAGGCGCACATTCCCTGTGACATTCATCCCACTCAGGCTGTTCTGCACCCTTTTTTTTTTTTTAAGTTTTCCTGGTCACTTTTATACAAAGCACCCAGAGATCTTCCTCATTCTGTTTTTTCATGGCTATGCCTCATTCTCTCATGTGGATAAATCGTAATTCATTACCAGCTCTCCGCAATGGACACTTACGTGGCTTCTGGCTTTCACTTATACAGATAGTATTATATTAAACATTTATGCATGGCATGCTTGTCTAGTAGGTGAGTGCAAATCCGCTGAAGAAATTCCTAGCCGTAGAACTGCAGGCAAAGTTGGCAGGTCTGATGAGATTGTCTTTCCTGGGCAACAGAGCACGAGTTTGTCCTCTTGGCAACAGAGCACGAGCAGCCACCTCCTTCCACACGAGGGGTTTTTGAACGCTATCTTTGTGTTCTGGGGTTCCCATGGTGAGGATCTGAAGGGCAGCAGAGAGATGGGGGTCTCCCAGGCTCTCCCTCTTGACGTCCCTCTGTTTACTCTTGCTCTGTATTGGTCTTCTGAGAAAGGTGTCCTTGGAAACAAGTCACCTTGAGGGGTTCTTTCCTCCTGAGAGGTCCATCCAGGCCTTGAGGTGGTCTCTGTGCGGAAGGAGCTTCCAGCCCGTTCCCGTTCCCATCAAAGGTGACCTCCCTGGTGAGAAGCACGGCACTGCCTGGAAAGGCCTCCTTCATTCAAACCTCTCCACCAGGATTCTCCAAAGCTCTTTGGGCCACTCCCTCTGACAGCTCTGTACTGAGCCTGAGGGACTTACCCTGCCCTGGGGAGTTCCTACTCAGGAGGTGCTCACCCTGTGCAGCGGTGGAGAACAGGAAGGCTTAGGAGCTGGGGTAGGGGTCCTGCACGAGGAAGACAGAGTGGGAGGTGGAGTGGCTCAAGTCCCATACTTCTGGACCTCCATACTGGACATCTTATGAAATAACCACAGAAAGAACTGAAACTCCAATATCGTATGATACCAGAGAGGCCTTGGAGGTGCGACCCCAGGCCCAGGAGCTCTGCTGGGGACAGAGGAAGATGTGGAGAGCTCTGTGGGATGGATGAGAGCCGGCGAAGGCTGGAGATGGTCAGCGTTCTGGTTTAGAAGGGGAAGACTTTTTGACCTTTGGTCATTTAAGCTGCACAAGAGGGTCCGTGCCAATGGACCTCCTTTGGACAGGAGGCGGGCAGTGTTTGGATTGGAGCCATTTCCAAGGTATACAATTAAATTGAGAGCCAAGCGCAAGGTGCTTCGTGTCAACATGAAACAAACCAGCATTTTCTAGCTCTGCTTCTTCTACTAGAAGTAGAGACATTTTTCTAAAAGGAAGAAATCCATAAGGATAAAAAGGACACCAGAGCTGACAGCCGATGAGAAAGATCAGCAAAATCTGAAAAGTGCAAAGCAGATAGACATGACACAGACTTCACTGAGTAGAAAGCTGAAGAGAAATTTCCTGCAGGATTTGGAAGATGGAGTCAAGAACCTAGAAAAGCTCAGGAGCCTCTGAATTGCAGGACGCAAGGTCAGGCAAAAATAGAAAGGTAGAGAACAAGATCTGTGTGATTCCTTCACTACCCTGCAACACACTCGGTAGCACTGACCCACCCAGAAAAGACAGGCGCTCAGCCTTTGGGGAGAGCAGCTGCTGTCTTGGGGGCCCCAGGTGCCATGAAGACCCCGGGGACCTCTGCACAGCCAGTCTGCAGAGCCTGTGGTCAGCATGATCCAAAAGCCAAGGGATGCTGGGTGAACTAAGGAAGGAATCAGAGACTGTCTACTCACTAAGTCAAGGCATCATGACATTAGAGAAGGTCAGAGATAATGAGAAGCCCCTTAAGGCTTACAAAGAGAAGACTCTCAGGAATCAAGACAGCTTTGGGCACATGTTCAAAGACAAAACACCTTCAATATCTTAAGGAGAAGTTTCCAATCTAAACTGAGTCCTGGCTGAACTCTTAGTCAACACTGCAGGTGGAGCGACAATATTTTTTGGTGTGCAAATCAACTACGTGATCTCTTGTGGAATTTGTCTAAGAAAGGTTTTGAAAAATGTGCTCCATTAAAACTAGAAAATAAAACAAAAGGAAAGACAGAGGATCCAGGCAAAAAGGAATTTCAACACAGAAGAAGGCAAAACAAGTTATGAGGATGCCAGAGATCAGCAGGCCTGGAAAACAGTTTTCTAGATTAGGATTAAGGGGTTGGGGTGGCCAGGGTTGATGATGTCTTCAAGAACACAAAGTGAACCTGCAGATCTGGATACCATCATCATATGGAGAACTTTACAGCGCTGCAGAAAGTTTGTTGATGAAATCATGACAATACACTGAAGCCTGAGCAAAAGGAAAATGAAATTATTATTAACTCCGGGAAAAACTGAAAGCTTTTCAAGAAAAGAAGAGGTCTCATATTGCACTAGCTAATCAGCTGTGGGCAACATTTAACAATATCAACGCTGGATATCAGTTCAGAAAAAGTGTTGTATATACTGGGAGGATTAGGAAAAGAAGCATATGGCAAAAAATCTTTTTATAGGAGAACATCGCAAGATAGTACCTATAATAAAAATATTGACAAATGGCAGCATCTGTACAGTATTTATAAATCCTAAAAAAATGTTAAGTAAAAGCCCAAGAGAAGCCAAGAGGTGGTTTGTGCTTGTGCTGGTTGTCTCTGGAGGGCAGGAGTCCAGAGGCAGTGAGTGTCGGTAATGTTAATTGCAAGCTTTACGGTACTTGTGTTTTTAACCTATTTAACTATATTGCTTGGGGAAACAAGACATATAAAGGGGATGTTGCTATTTTGGGGGACAGGTGGGACATATGTACAGACACAAACCCAAGGTGAGTATTCCTGGAAGGACACACAGGTACACACACACGGAAACAGGCTGGCTTTTTGGAGGTGAGCCAGGTGTCCAATGCCTCAGGGGTAGCTTGGATCTGGGTGGTCAGGAACATGGTGCCCAGTGGGGTGGGGTGGGGTGGAGGAAGAGCCTCCTGGGCTGCCAAGGCCAAACCCAACCCTTTTCCTCTGTGACTTCTGATGATGTGAGACCAGTTTCCCCCAAAAAGTGACAGAAATGATACAGAGCATGGGTACAGCCCAGTGAATAAAACAAACAAGTGTCCTAGAGGCCAATGGGGAGAGGAAGCCATAGCGGGGAGGGGTCTCCGGCTAACACCTTCCCAATTTCTTTTTTTTTTTTTTTTTTTTTTGACAGGACAGTTTATTTTATTTAGGGGGTTAGTTTTTTTTTTTTTTTTTTTAATTTTTTTTTAAATTTTATTTAAGGAGAAAAGAAAAAAAAAGCAGAGAAAGGGTACAAGTTATACAGATTTGCAGAAAAAAAATGAACAGTAGGAAATTACTAGTTAATGGATTACATATTGTCATCTTAGAAATAATTGTTCAAGTCACAAAATTAAAGCTTGTAAAGTGGACATTCCATCAATGATACTGCAAACAGTTCTGTTCAATGATCCAATAAAACTCTGTGATATCATATTCTATCTTATACACTTAAATATACATGCAGTTATATAGTTTAGAGCACTTTCTTTTCCTCTCTTTTGTACAATGACTATTACACATTTTGGGTTTCATTGCTCTCACGGTTCTTATTACTTTTTTGGAAAAGAATAA